GTCCCTTCAGGGCCACCATACACCTGTGATATTCCTAACAGAATGATATTTCACTCCTGGAGTGAAATTTCACTCCTGGACCATAAGATGGTTTATCACGCGTTAAAAAAATCATTAGGCATCACTTCGATTACTGAATGAGATTGCTGTTTTTGATTTATTAAAAACGTATTGAATAAAGAAAGGGAGGGCGATTAAATGAATAATTTGGTATGAAAATTATTTATTCTGGTACCATTTCAATATTCAATTCTAGAAAAGTCATAAGGTACAATACATTTATGAATACCTCTGATGTTTTTCCCCTGGCATTTTTATCTCGAACATTTATGCCTCTGGAAATTTAACTCTGTCGTTCTTGAAGAAAACAATTATAAGGAGATGCGTCCCACATTGGTGAACGCATTCACAAGAACTGTTTTTAAACTCATGTACAAAATAAAACAATTTAATCTTATACGCTAAAATGAGTATGCCTATAGTCAGGTCGGTTGAGCGACAGACTTTACAAGAGCAACAAACGTACCTTGCATAAATTATAGGGTAGCTTCAATTTTCCCACGGGACCCATCGGTGTGAACCACATCTATATATGCAAAGTCATGCTAATATAATGAATCAATATGTCTCTTTACCACACAGACATTGTTAATATCAAAGAAATTGAAAATGAAAAAAACTGACGATGATAATTATGTGTATTTTTCGCGCCTAAAACTCATATCATTTTTCATAGAAATAATCAAATCAAATCACATCTTCATTCAAAACTATGATAAAATAATTTATGCAACATTTAATGGACAGCGTTCATTGCCGACATGCTGTTATTAGACGTATATTGAAGAGCGTCAGCTGATCAGAATCCATCTGCAGTCGAATTTACGTAACTTTGTAGAAGCTGTCTTAATTCACTGGAAGTCCTATACATTTGTTTGTTTGTTTGTTTGTTTTATTTCTTCGGCACCATTTAAAATAATTGTTAACAGATAAAACAAATAAGTGGGTTACAACGAGATATAATACATAGTCGGAACAGTACATAAACAAAAAATGTTTAAAGCGACAAAAGCGTAACGTCCCTAAGATAACATAGTTGATCATTATTATAGGTTTAGATAGAACATGGCTTAAAATAATAGATTCTGTCGTTATACAAAAATAAAACAAAATACAAAATGATAAATGCTTATATCAAAACCATGCCCCTTAACGTATTTGAATAACAATCTTCAAATCTAACCTTCTGAATTTTGAATACTCTATTATTATAACGTTAAATATATATTGCAAATAATCATTTACAATTTAATTCTCTATGCGCATTAATCATTTCTTCTAAACTATCTTTAAATTTAAAACCTTCCAATATTCGTAACTTCTCAATTTTGTAACATTTTATCTTTTAAACTTATGAAAGTTTTCAACTTTTAAATCAAACAGTCAAACTTTTAAATTGTTAGAATTCCATGAACTGAAACATGTAAATCTTTTATCTTTTAACCTTGTAAGTATTACTTGTAGCTATACTTGCTCTCTCTATAGCAAACAATGCCTAATCGGTGACCGTTGGTCCCCCATGATCCTCTTTTTCTTATGTAAATTGAGGGCTGGGTTGATAAGATAGCCACTTGTCAGTGACCATCATGGGTGGTCTAATCCCTCCTGGCCAAACAAGTACAGACGGGCTTGAGTTCTGGTAATGATAGAAAATAATTGTCACAGAATCCAACAAAACTAACACTGAATGTTCAAGATTACAAATAAGTTGCATGTGTACCAAACGATTTTGGAGGAAAATGTATAGGGGCTGAGTAATGTACATTATAGAAAGATAATGAAATCAAGGTAAGCATGCAGACCCAAAGGTCACCATGTGCAAATGAGAGTGTTTTTTTTTTTTTTAATTATTGAAAAATTAATTATTTTCATCAAGTTTTTGTGAGTTTAAAAAAAAAAAAATTTACTAGTTCAAACGATCAATCTACTGCAGGATAAACAATCCACAATGAATTATAGCCATGTCTCTCGACATACAATATGCCCATACCAGAGCTCAAGATTATTTTTAAACTCTTAAACGCCGGTTAACAGTTATAAACTTTTAAATGTTTACATTTCCAAACTTCTGATAACTGTAAATGGTAATCAATTATCAATTTCAGGATCATGTTAACTGATTGTAAAAATATCAATATTGGGCAGTGTGAAAATGTCTCTTTAATCAGATTGGGAAAATTTGATATTAAAGCCACACCGTACTACTTGTATTTACTTACTCCCTCTATATAGAAAACAATGCCAAATCGATGACCATTGTTCCCCCATGATACTCTTTTTCTTATGTTAATTGAGAGCTGAGTTGATGATATAGCGACCTGCAGTGGCGGATACAGGAATTTCTTAAGGGGGGGGGGGCACAACATCGCATAGGGTGAAATATATGAAAAACGATGGAGCGGAGCGACCGAGCGGGGTGGGTCTGGGACTTGATCAGAACCCCCTCCCTGAGTATAGGAAGCATTTGCAATTTTAGAACAACATTAGGCGCATTTTCAGGCACTTCCTGGAGTAATATGACGTAAAAATGCTTTCTCCTTTCTCCTACTCCCTCCAAGAGTAGGGACCTTTTGCAATTTGAGAACCACATTTGGCGCATTAATGTCCACCGGCACTACCTGAAAAATAAACGAGGCCTTCTGATTGGTTAGAAGTTACAGAAAAGTGATCTGTCACGTCGTGAGACGTTGCTGCACAATGCACAAAGACGGTGGTTTGGTACTTCACCAGTACTAACTAGTACTTGCAAAAATTATCTCGAGTGTACAAACTGTGTTGTTATCAGGGGCATCGCTAGACCTTTTTCAGTGGGGGGGGGGGGGGGGGGGTAGCCACCAATTACCGAAAAATATATTAATGCCAATGTCCCAATGTCTACACATTTAACCCTATTGACCCGGGGCCAGGAATTAAGTTATTTTTCAGTTTCCTCCTCCCGCGCGAAGCGCTGAAGCTTTGTCGTCTCTTAATACTTGTCTAATTTCAGTTCCCCCCCCCCCGCGCTTCGCGCGGGAGCTTTTAAGTTTAGTTAAATTATTTTTAAAGAAATGCAATTCCTCATGCTCTCGCACCTCTCTTCTATCGTTTAATTCTCTTTCATTTTTTTCCTTTCTCCTTTAACTCACAAAAATTCTCTCCTTCCCCTAATTTTTTCCATCTCTTTGTTTTGTTTTGTTTTTGTTTTGTTTTGTTTGTTTGTTTGTTTGTTTGTTTGTTTGTTTGTTTTTTTTTTTTGGGGGGGGGGGGCTACATGCCTGACAAGAGGGACCCCGTATTATGCACACTGCAAAATTCCCGGTAAAAAAAGACCTTCTTATAAGTTCATCCCCCTTTTTTTCTTTCCCCTTCTCATTATTCTCCTTTCCCCTCTTTTCTCTCCTCCGTCTTTCCCGCTTTCTTCCTTTTTCGCCTCAGTTTATCTCCTCTCTCTTCCCCCTTTTTTCCTTTCCCTCTCTTATTTCTCCTCCCCCCTTTTCTCTCCTTCTTCTTTTCTTCTTCTTTCTTTTTCACCTTCTTTTTCTTTCCCCTCCCTTTCTCCCTTTTTCTTTTTCCCCCTTCCCCCAATTTTTTTTTTACCGGGGGGGGGAGCACATGCTCCCTGTGCCCCCTGAATCCGCCACTGACCTGTCAGTGACATCCCTGGGTGGTCTAATTCCTCCTAGCCAAACTAGTTGGCCTACAGATGTTTAATTTGAGAAAGTCAAATTTCTAAAAGGGACACAATTCGAAGTTTGACCTTTAGGGCATTGTATCCCTCCCTCTGGCTTTACTTAAAGGTACTATGTCCCTTTTGCAGCCAACCTCAAATTCTGTAGAACTTTGCAGGAATTATGAATATGTCATGTATGTCCTATCTGTGAAATTTAAACGTTAGCAGTGTCCTCATATTCAAATTATGCAAGGAAACCCGTTTACTTGCTAGACTTCACTGTCAGACACTATTGAGTGACTGGCTGGCTTTTTTTTCTTCTTTGGTAATAACATACATGAAAAGAGTTGTAAAGGGTACATGAGCATTTGTCTACATCAATAACCCACTTCTTGTGATGGCCAAGATTAAACTGATTGAATCTTTGCGCAGCATAAAACGTATGACCATTCGGTACAATTGTCTGAAAATCAAGACTATTACTTTTGGGCTCTATAGCCCTAAAGTCGATTTGACAACTAATAGTCGTTATTTTCCCACTTGAAGACATTTTCAAGCCCCACCTTTTTTAGGGAAGTTCTAAATTAGTATTATCTTTCAAATGCAGTTGGAATTTAACTTTTTCATTTTTTGGCCTGCAAATGGGACATAGTACCTTTAAGTTCATTGTTTTTGTTACTGCTCAGATTCTTGGACAGTAGATAGGCCTCTTTAGATGAATGTCATATTTATAGGGAACAATTTTTAAGCGACAGCAGAAAATATAGGTAAAAATAGAGAAATTATATCAAAAGTAACAAGGAGAGCTTATCACATTTGATAGGGTCACTGCAGAGGTGAAACGGGTCATTTATAAGAACGGAAAGGAGCATTTATTAGAAAGGGAAAGTAAAGGGGCACTAGCTGTCAAAGTAAAGAGGACAATAGTTATCAGAGCTGAAAAGGGATAAAGTGGCACCAAATTTTGGATAGGGGCATTTATTATAAGTGAAAATTGGGTAGCATATAAAAGTGGCAAGTGACATGTCCTGCTCATTCATAAGTCAGAGACACTACAGGCCAAAGTTCGTTAACATTGCATACCTGTAAGGCTATCCATGGATCTGTAAACTTGAGATCCGTATATATCCGTATCCGTATACTGACACCAAATAACATCATCATATCCGTGTTTTGTTTACTATAAAAGAGGCGGTTTTGAGGTGTGTAGGTGTATTCAGCCTCCGATTGGTTAAATGGACCTTGTCTATGCGCGCGCATTATCAGCCGAAACGCACAACATGCATGCTAAAAATCCATATCGACTATACTGACGCCGCGCCGTGCATGAAATTACTGCTTCACACGGATGTAGATTTGAATAAGTTACAGGGCTTAGGTATTCGTTAGTTCTACTCTTCCCAACAGCTGCAACAGAAAAAAGGGGAAAATAAGAAGTACTGAACAAAAATCGTCTGAAGTGAAAAGAATCAGTCACGAATAGCCTGGCACAAGTGGAAGAAACACAAGCAAGTTCAAAGCCTTGGCCTGGCTTGACCTGGTTTATCATTATCAAGCCGAAGCCAAGGTGGATATTCGGCCATTCGGAGTATTACGACTCAGACTTCAGAGTCAAAGTTTTATCTTGGAGTTGGGCCTTGGCTAAAACCTAGGCCAGGATCTCAGAATCAGATTCAGATTAAGAAGACTGAAAGGCAGAATAAGAATAAGATTTCGCCCATCAAGCAAGGCAGCTGCGTGTAAGTTTGAAGAAGCTCTGAGACCGAGTCTGAAAATGTTATTTGCAATTGTCTGTCTGAGCTGAGAATGAGACGAGTCTGTGTGTAGTCTATTCGATTGTGCATGAATGATGCTGACAACAATTGTAGATGTCAGAAATAACATCTCATTGGGGAGGAGGGGGGGGGGGGATCATTATGGTCATGACTCATGGATTGTTAACCGTCATAAACTAAAATAAAATGAAAACTAGCCGAGCCTATTTTTTAACGTTGCTAATTAGCCTTACACGTAAAACTTTCCGCTTTGAGCGCTGTGCACTTAGTTTATGCTCTCCCATTGGCTGAGCCGCTTGAGAAGCTTCAAATTTAAGTGAGAGAGGGCTTACTTAAAGGGAACCAAAACCTTCATACTAAGTTACTTTTATTGTAAAGTTTAAGATATTTGAAAAATATCAGTGAAAATTTGAACAAAATCGGGCAAGGAATAAGGAAGTTAGAGCTTTTTGAAAGTCACTAGAGTAGAGGGCTGTATTCAATTTGATGACATCATCTGTGGACAACTCTCCATGCCTTTTGTACATCAATTTCATGCTTTTCCTTCTTTCTTGTGATTGAGATAATTTACTCCCCTGAAAGCAAGATGTAGAATGCAAAATGATATTCTACTTCACATGTTAAAAAGTCGGATCAAGAACACAAATAAATACGAAGAAAACGAAAAAATGGTGAAATTTTATGTACAAAAGGCATGGAGAGTTGTCCACAGATGATGTCATCAAATTGAATACCGCCCTCTAGTGACTAGTCATTTGAAAAAGCTCTAACTTCCTTATTCCTTGCCTGATTTTGTTCAAATTTTCACTGATTTTATTCAAATCTTTTAAACTTTACTATAAAAGTAACTTAGTATGAAGGTTTTGGTTCCCTTCAGTGTTTCGTGTTTAGGGAACGAACGCTATAATGGCCGCGTACCGTCGTGAAAATCAACAGGACAGAGAAAATTCTGGTTCGCGCATGCGCAGATAGTTTTTTCGGTCGAGTTACCGTTGTCTTTGCCTTCCGTCATGTTTGCAAAAGCATGCTATTAACGTAAATCTCCGTGTATAAAACGAACCCCTATTTAGGGGGCCAAAGGTACAGTTGAAGGCACCGATTTGTGCTTGTCACAAATAATAGTAACAATGTCGTTTTTAAAACTAAAGATGACAGACAAATTTTCCTCAAAGTCCAAACAGAAAATCCGGCCATACAGGTAGTGTTCTAGCGTTCTTGTACGACTGAGTAGGGAGACATTGCCAGGCACAGTGCCGGTGGAGGGGCATAAATTGGCACTTTAAAAAAAAAATTATTTTTTTTTCGGCATGAATAAGTGCCTCCAGGTGGTTCCACATCTTGACACTTAGAAAAAGTTTCAATTTTTTGTTGGCATGAAATAAGTGCATCCAGGTGGTTCCACATCTCGACGAAGGATAGGAGTACTTGAAGCTATCAATGACAGCTGCTGGTACTGCATACTTCAGAGGGTGATAATTTCTGCTGAGAGCAGAAATGAAAGCTGCAGCTCGCTAGACTTTCTCAAGACTTTGTATTGATGTCCGACTCAGTCCGAGGGTTCCAAGCTTCACTGCCATACTCAGGTCCGAGGACGAACAAGCATTCTGTAGGCTTTGAATTTAGTGTTCTTGGTGCACAGTGATAGAGTTCTGCGTAGGAGGCCAAGTGTTCTATTGGCTTTCTGGGTGGTGAGTTTACATTGGGTGTTCTATTTAAGGTCATCGGTAAGATACTTGTATTGTTTTACTTGAGGAATTGACTCATTTAGTAGGGTGTTGTCCACTGTGATGGGGTGCTTTTTGTTTGTGGTTGAGAAGGTAGCACACCTCTCGATGTTGAATCCCATCAGCCATTTTGTGGACCAGTCTGCAAGAACATAGAGATCTTCTTGCAGTACATGAGTGTCAGAGGGAGAGTCGATCCGCCGGTAGATGTCACTGTCATCTGCAAATAGTTGTAATGTTGACTTGAAGTTGAGTTTGACGTCATTGATGTACAGCAGAAAAAGTACGGGGCCGATGACAGAACCCTGCGGTACTCCTGAAGTAACCGGCATCCATGCTGAGCGAGCACCATTGACGATGACAGCTTGATGTCTATTTGCTAGGAGTGACATAGTCCAGCGGAGAGAGTCTCCCCTGATTCTGTAGTACCGGTAATGCAGTTTGGATCCAAGGTGTGGATATGGTATGCGATCGAACGCTTTTTGGAAGTCAAGAAAGATGATATCTGTTTGGCCTCTAGATTGAAGAGAGGATGACCAATCATCAGTAGCTGTGACAAGTTGTGTTGTTGTTGAAAGGTTCTGTCTGAAACCATGCTGTTCATCAATGATTATTTTGTTAGCTGCAAGATGTTTTAGAAATGTGGCTAAGCATAATATGTTCCATCACCTTACTTTAGATACACGTCAGCGATATAGGTCTGTAGTTACCTGGGCAACATATAATATCTCCTGCCTTATGTATAGGGGCTACAAGCGCGCGTTTCCAGTCTAAAGGTACTTGTCCGGTATTGTAACTCTGTTGAAACAGAAATGACAATGCAGGGGCTATTTCGTCTGCTAACTTCTTCAAAAGTCTTGGATGTATCTCATCTGGGCCACTGGCTTTGAATGGATTCAGTTGAAGCAGTTGCTTATTAAACTACACCAGACTGGTGAAACAATAATAATGTAGTGAAAAATAGTTTAAAACTCTGTTCTTTCCAACCTCGCTATTTCTTTCTCTCTTTTAATCATGCAGGTGCGTCAAATGTTTGTGGATATCGTGCAATAAACTAGTCTCTTCAGTCCAAAGACCATCGCATTGACGTTACCATGTGGCGTGTGAAGCCCCTGGCTTTGGGTTCTTTCCCTTCGCTGATGTCCCGTGTCGGATTGTGCCGCCATGCAAGTGCAGCAGCAGCAGCGGGGAAGGGTAAGCAGCGAACCATGGCGATCAGACGGGAGGACTATGGCTCACAATGGGAAAGAAGAGCACCGCTGAATCCATTACATGTCAAATCATTGGTCGATCAGGGTGTCAAAGTACTTGTACAACCTTCCAACAGACGTGCATACCCAATGCAGGTTAGTACTAGTACAGTCAAACCTGTTTATAGCGACCACCCAAGGGAAACACAAAAAGTGGTCTTTGTAGACAGGTTCCTTTAGTACATGTTTCAATGAGAAAGCATTTTCAAGGGAAACAAAAAATGTGGTCTTTGTAGACAGGTGGTCACTCAAGCAGATTTGACTGTAGCCCCCTCTGGGATAGATTTGTATTATCATAAACAAAGGGTTTTGCAGAGGCCATGTGCTGCATATGTTGATAGTAACTTTTATAACGTCGATAAGAAACATTAGTTGAGTTTTGTCTCTCTTGTATGTAGAATATTTCTGAAAAAAACTTCTGTAGATTTCAGAGGTTGAGTTTCACAAAATTTTGGAGAATTTCAGATTACCATGTTGTAGCCTTTATTTATTTATTTATTTATTTTGTTGTTGTTGAAAGAGATGTCATTTAATTCTCTCATCATTGGGAGCTTTTGACAGTAAAACCCTTAAAACCCTCCTAGCATGTTAGCACTGGGACACCCATGGTTCCTCACTTTCTTCATCTGTTTCTTAAAGGGATTGGGTATATTTGTCTCAGATTCTGAAACAGAATCCTGGATTTAGCTCATGCTGCAATTATAATTATAAACCTTTAGGTCAGTCAGGAACCCCATGACTTTTACAAGCCGATTGCTCCGCTTCCTTACAATGTACATGTAAACTTTAACATAATTTATTAACCAATCGTTTCTTATCTCTCCTTGTTTTATCAGGAGTATGAGAGATGTGGTGCCATCATCCAAGAAGACATCAGCGAAGCATCCCTCATCATGGGTGTGAAGCAAGTCCCCATTCCACGCCTCATACCAAGCAAGACTTACTGCTTCTTCTCCCACACCATCAAAGCACAGACGGAAAACATGCCCATGTTAGATCAGCTGATAGAAAGGGTATGTCAGGGAAAAAATACATGGGGCTCAGGGCGAACAAGCCCCCAAAATGCCAAAAAAGAGCCCCCCCCCCTCCCGAAAGTCATAAAAGAGCCCCCCAAAATTTGCATAGAGTTCAATGTAAAACAAATTAAGGAGTGTTAGTTTCATGCAAGCAAGCTTGAAGAGTAGCCCCCGAAATTGTTTAAATATTTTTTTCCCTGAGGTATGCAGATGCATGCACCTCTTATACAGTATATATGGGATGTCCATTTTACTTACTTACTTTACTTTACTTTAATCCAGCGATGCTATAGGACTATGCTTGTTCATCGATCACAGATGTCTTCTTTAATAATTATACATTATCCTTGTCATTTCAAATTAAATAAGTCGGAAAGGAAAAAAATGTGTGCAAACTTGCAATATCAGCTTATACAGCTACAATAGGCTCATAGACAAGATTATAGTTTTTAGGCCAGTATTTGTCTAGTCAACAGTTTACAGAAGTTGCTGAGATAACATATTCAGGAAGACTGTTCCACAATCTGTTACATTTGAGAGTTAAAGGTAATACAAAGTTTTGGTATGGGGTCATGAATTTGGTTCAAATGAACATATTTGAAGCATATGTGAGCCTAAAATATTCAGTGGTCGTTGTCGCGGTTGAAATGGAGCCAAAAGTTATGAAATTGTCAATAATAAACTCTTTATGTTGTATAGCCCCCTCTCAAAGTCAAGATATTAATTAAGCTGTGAAACAATGTTTCTTGACTAAAATCGACCGATTTGCTATTCCCGTTTGGAAATTATATATCAGAACTACATATTCTGTGATTTTCATGGTCGCAGCTACCATTGTACGGCCATAGTCGCTCTTTGAAATTTATCAAAATTTACCGGGAGCACCGGTAAATTTTTATATTCAATTTTTCTCAAAAGCAAAAGTGTTGTAGGGGCTAAATTTTTTAGTGCCCTTAATACATCCACATGGGCATCCAAATATATCAAAATTGTAAAGAATCACTATCCACCCAATTTTCGAAATTTCCCAAAACTTTGTATTACCTTTAATGGGTTTGAAGTCTTCCAAGTGCAATATTTTGTGAAAGTCTTGTCTTCTCTGGTGAAATAGGGAAATTGAAAGAGTGTAAGTCCCAAAGTAATTTTATCATATAACCGGGTAATTCTGATCAAATCACTGCTTTGAATTCCATTTAAGTGCTAGTAGTACTATTTGCAGTATAAATACTAATGTTTACTCAGAGTAAATGATCAGATAAGAGGTTCGTGTAAACAAGGTTTTGAGTCTTGTATTTTTGTCGCTTCTATAAAAAGAAGCAGGATCCACTCTGCAAGACAATCATAGAAACAATTCTAACTTCCATATTTATTTATATGAAAGGGATGGGCTGAAGAGAAGGGGTGCATGTCAAGTTTCATAATACCTCTGTTTTTCTTTGCTAAAGTTAATTGATGTATAAATTAGTTGAATCTAAAGGTAAACCGGAAATGTGCCCACCATAGATAGGTGGTAAAAAAACAGGGTCTACAACTTAAAATTCTTTCTAGTGGGTGAAATTATAGTCGATTACTACATGCACGAGGCTAGGAGAAGTAAAGTAGCCACAAAAGACTGGTTGAGTCGTTTGGAAAAGGACACTATTCTTGATTTAGCACATTATCTTTTATTATTATTTTTTTAAAGGTTTGTACTCTTTATAATTAATGACAGCATGAGATTTTGCGAGTACGAATATTAATTTTAGCTCAGAGCAAAGGAAAATCCAACAGATCATATTCATTTTATTGTCATAAGTGAACATTTTTATTCTCCACCACTTGAATTTCATTTTCAGAACGTACGGCTTCTGGATTACGAGAAGATTGTAGATGAAAACGGCAAACGTTTGGTGGCTTTTGGAAAGTTTGCTGGTATTGCAGGGATGATCAACATTCTACACGGCATTGGACTCAGACTTCTAGCCCTGGGGCATCACACACCATTCATTGTAAGTTTGCAGTTTGCATTTAAAAACATAATAAAATGAAATAAAAGTTTGATAAAGTTGTCAAGAAGAAACAAAGCAGAAGAATAAAGAAATATGCTTGTATACCTGCCTCAGCTTCTGAACGGGCAATTTGTAGATCTTGGATATGGAGTGATACAACTAGTTATTCTTTCAGGTTCAGCAATTATCCTATTTCATGAGATATCAGATGAAATGTTTAATTAGTGATTATTGTTAATCAAATGTGATTTGAATGTGTCTCTCCATACTTTTAATTATCCATGCCGTCCCATGTACCCGTACTGATTTTCATTTAGTGCATGATCAATGTTCCAAACTTCTGGGGAGTGTTTCACAAAGACTAAGATCGACTTAAGTTGGACTTGAACTATGGCAGGCCCTTCATGCCACTGGTTGCTCTCACTGTTAGTCTCTCAAGAGACTTCACAAATCTACAGAATTCACATTTTGGGGTACTTTATTATTAATAAAGGAAAAACATTATGTAAAGATCATACTTTCTAAGGTTTTTTTCATCTAATTTTACATCTGGTTTAAGACTTTTTAAGGGCATAAAACATCTGCCATGGTTCAAGTTTTACTTTAAGTCGATCTTGGTCTTTGTGAGACACCCCCCTGGCATCTTAATTAATATCCCTTCTTAGACATGCAACATTGCAAAATACAAATGATTTGTATTGTCAATTTGAATTCTTTGAACTCTACAGCATATAGCAGCTGCACACAACTACAGGAGTAGTAGCATGGCACGGCAAGCCATCAGAGATGCAGGGTACGAGATCTCATTAGGTCTGATGCCAAAGTCTGTCGGTCCCATGACGTTTGTCTTCATGGGGTCTGGAAACGTGTCACAAGTAAGATTTTATTCCACTCTCTGATCGGTTTATACCCACATTTAAAGCCCCATGGCACCTCTTATAGCTACTTGCGCCCTCTATATAGCAAGCAAAGCCTAATTGGTGACCATTGGTCCCCCATGGTCCTTTTTTTCTTACGTTCATTGAGACCTGATTTGATGGGATAACCAACCGTCAATGACCATGCAGTGAGGTCTAATCCTTCCTGGCCAAACTAGTGCAGATAGGCTTTAATAAACTACACACCAAATGTAGCTGATTTTAACTGATCATAACAAAATTAGAACCATTGTTACCCAGACCCTATAGGAAATACATGAAAGCTTATTTAAAGTTCGAGACTATTATCCTTGTTACAATTGGTACACTTAGAGTTCCACCAAAGGTAAACAATTTGGTTTTGAAAGGGTCATCTTCAAATGTTGTTTGACAGGTTTGCGTGGTGAGAAGATTGCGGTACAACCATGTGGATGGTCCTTAAAGCCCCACTGCACTACTCGCAGCTACTTGCGCCCTCTATACAACAAACAATGCCTAATCGGTGACCATTGGTCCCATATGATCCTCTTTTTCTTATGTTAAGTGAGAGCTGAGTTGATGAGATAACCACCTGTCCAGTGACCTTGCAGGGCGGTCTTATCCCTCCTGTAAACTAGTACAGATAAGCTTTAAAAGGACTGTTTGTATTCTTTTATGTTGATTGATTCTCAGTCCTTTTCAGGACTTCTCAATTAACACAAAAGAATACTAACAATCCTTTTGAGGACTTTCCTTGTGGTTGTACTGAAAATCCACTCTCTAATAGTCATCTTGTCATAGACTATTACACTTTATTGATGCAAGATATTTGTTGTTGTTGTTGTTATTTCCAGGGGGCAAAGGAAATGATAGATGAGCTACCAGTTGAGTATGTTGAGCCCCAGGATCTAAAAGAAGTTGCACAACACGGAGGTAATAAATCACATCGGGGAAGTATATAGATTAGATGGATCACATCCTTTGTTTTGAATATAGCAATGTCTAAAGTGAGAACACACTGCACTATGTGAAGTGGAATCCCTGTAAGCGGGTGGAAAGATCTTGCATGCAGCTTTGAAATGTCAAAGGTCATGTAACAAGCAATGCTGCCAATTTGAGGAAAAGGTAGTACTGATTAGTCTATCCAAAAATCAAAACTTTCATTGCATAATGTCTCTACCATTTCTGTATCTATTTCAGTAATAGAAATAAGTCAGACATATTTAGTCACTATGTTCAGATTTTACTTTTGATGGTTAGGAGCCAGAGCATTTAACACTGAGTTCCTATAGGAAATATGTTTATTCAGATGGTCATATCTCAGCCAATACTTAACATATTCAATTGGTTTTCGACACTTATGACATTATTTTTGATGCTCTTTCAGAAAATGAAGACAAAATTGAGAAATTCTAAAAATAGATTTTTATGACGTCACAGCTTCGGTACTCTATAGAAGTAAGCAGATAAAAAACAAGAGAACAACATTTTAACAAAAGTGATTTCTTAGATTTCCTATGTTTTTATTTATTCTTTGTTGAACTTACAATGTACATGTAAATAGCTGAATACTTGCAGTCTAACCGCAGTTTGTAAGAGTAAATGTTTTTTTACTGTAATTTGAATTATTGATTGTATTACTGTGCTGTTGATAACCAACAGATACGAGGAAGATTTATGCAACGGTGGTCAACAGAAAAGACCATCTTGTGAGGAAGGATGGAGGAGAATTTGAGGCAGCTGAATATGATGATTATCCTGAAAGATACAAGTCAGTCTTTAATGAAGAGGTGAGTTAATACTTCATTTTATTTGATCATCTTGTGAGGGGGTTTTGAGGAGAGTCTGAGGCAGCTGAATATGATAAATATCCAGAAAGTTATAAGTCTGTAAGTATTGGTGTGTACTGCAAGGTTTTGGAGTCATCAAAATCATAATAAATTTGGCCCAGTCTTGGTAAAGTAACAAGCACTGTACACAGAAAGATGTATATGGGACTACACAAATAATGTTGGGGCTACTTACCTTGATTTCCTTATATTTCTATTCTCATTGCTCAGCCAGTATACATTTTTCATAATAAATTTGGCCCAGTCTTGGTAAGGTAACAAGCACTGATGATAATAAAAAGTCCCAATTGTTCTTCATAGACTTACATGATACTCCTCCGTATTAGTATTTCAAAAAAAATTGTAAAAATTAAACTCACTATTCAGCAAAATTGACCGTTGCTTTTAATCGTCAATTAGACCAGCTTTAAGTGATTCATTTTATTGTTGAAATACACCAATATGCCTTGTGATGTGAATCTGGTATAATTTCCCTTTCTGTAGATTGGTCCATGGGCATCCTGCATCATCAATGGTATCTTCTGGGACACGAAGCACCCTCGCTTCCTGACCAACATGGACACCCAGACCCTCCTCGGTCCCATGCACGTCCAACCGACCTCCGAGCCTGGCTGCCCCACCCTCCCGCATCGCCTCCTGGCCATCTGTGACATCACTGCGGACCCAGGCGGTTCCATAGAGTTCATCACCGACTGCACCACCATCGAGTCACCGTTCTGCCTCTACGACGCCGACCATCGCCACCAGCACTTCAAGTCCCTGAGGTTCTCTGGGGATGGTGTCCTGGTGTGCTCCATTGATAACATGCCTGCGCAGTTGCCACGTGAAGCCACCGACTTCTTTGGTGGTCTCTTGTACCCTCTTGTACCTGAACTGGTAAGACGGTGCTTTGTATGATGAATGCAGATGATCGTTAAAATCCCCACTGTACTACTTGTAGCTACTTGCTCCCTCTATATAGAAACAATGCCTAAGCGGTGCCCATTGGTCCCCCATGATCCTCTTTTTCTTATGTTAATTGAGAGCTGAGTTGATGAGATAGCCACCTGTCAGTGACCACGCTGGGTGGTATAATCCCTCCTGGCCAAACTAGTACAGACAGGCTTTTAAATTCAGAAAGAATTCAATGATTGTCAATTTGATAGTTATAGTATGTTCTTTTTTTGTTGGCAATACCCTATTACTTGAAATTTAATTTTGGGCCACAAAGTAGGCAACATGATAATCAGTGATGTTCAAGTGAGTAAGTGCAAGAAATGCCATCATAAAGTACGCTTTTTATCTATAATGTAAGTAAACCGATGATGTTTAGTGTTGTCCACAAATTTAATTGTTATCATGTTGCAAATCATTATGCCCTTCATAGCCCGTTTTTGTTCAAGATTTCTTAGCTTATAAATGACATTTAAGGCTGGTTCAACCGCACCCTTTTTTTTATGATGACATAAAGTGTAATACACTTCACATTTTTGTATCTTATAACACAGAACTCAGTGAATATGCACAAATCCTTTGTTGTGCACAATTGGCATTAATTTTACATGTTTATAAAAAATTGGCAGCTTTTACTGCATCATATCTGAGCACTCCTTTAGGCTATGATACTTAAAGGGACTTGGTAACATTGCTAAGTTGAGAGAAAGTGGTGCTAAGGTGGTGACTTCAATGCTAGATGTACAATTAAAGATATTCTGAAAATTTGAGTGAAAACTGACCATTATTAATGATAAAGATTGGAAAAAATGATCTGATCGGTTCCTTAATTCTCCCAACTATATTATTACAATTTAATTACATTTTAAGGGAATGTAAATCGTTACAAAGCAATGAATTGGCTCTATATACCATTCCAGACATTTTAGTGTTTAAAGATTTTTAAAAGCCTGTCTTGTGTTTTATTTTCATGGAAAAAATGGTTGAGAATTTTTTTTAAAAATTGGGAAAAATTACTGGTTAATCAGTGTTAGAGGGTGTTGCACAGTGACGCCTTCAGAGAAAACCATGAATATCTTTGTGGTTTGAGAATTTTTTCTGAATTTTTGCCTGTTATAGGTTTAGTATAGTAGAAGGAATATATACTAGGTAAAATTTCACACACAAATTGCACATTTTTTCATCAACCTTCAACAATGTTACTGAGTCACTTTAAATGATGGAAAGTTGTGATTTATATTGATGTCTAAAGATTCACTCTGTCAGTCTCAGGGACTTTTGTTTGTTAGCTTCCTTTATGCCTGAGTTAGTTCAAAACAATTTTTTTTCTATCTTCATGTCTATTTCTTTTTCAGTTGACATCTGATGCTACCAAGCCTATTGAGGAAGAGAACTTCTCAAGAGTCGTAAATGATGTAAGTTTGATTTAATTTCCTATACCCAGGGGGGTGTTTCACAAAGATCCTAAGTTGAACTTATCTCTAGGTTGGACTCAACAATTATGGAAAGCTGTTAGTATCTTTGAAAATATCATGTGAAAGTTATTTTAAAAGGCATTAAATGTTGATTCAAATCATTCATATTTTCTTTTATCATGGAAAATTTCATGTTCTTGATGTGGAATTTATGAAAGTCTAAAATACTTTAATTTTTGCTTTAGGAAATGTTTAATTTTAAGGCTACAAATGGCTTTCCATAATTTTTAAGTTCAACTTAGGATCTTTGTGAAACACCCCCCATGACTTGATACTAACAGGCACCTGGGCCCTGTTTCATGAAACTTGTTACCAATAACAAATGCTAAATTTCTATGACCAATGTGCCCTTAGCCAATCTAATGCCATGATTTCAGTAGCTTATAAATATAACAGTTATATTACTGTAACTTGTTATTGATGACAAGTTTTATGAAACAGGACCCTGGTGCACATAGTTTCCTGAATTTTGGAATTTAAACAACGGTTCCCATGTGCACAGACCTATATCATTTGAATCGAAATCCCCAGCAAAAAAAACAACCCTTTCTTTAACAATATTCTATCTTTTGATATCTTGATTGATTGCTAACTATGCATAGCACAGAACCGAATGGACTAGTAAAAGGAGGAAGAAGGGATACATTTTTATTTTTGAAATCATGATTTTTATTGTTTTGTCATTTGTTGCTGGTCTAAAGGTATATCTCAGTCTTGCTTGCAATCGACTGCGTTCCTATGATAACTTTCTGTTATTTCAATGTAAATCTTGACCTCATCAGGCTATCATATGTTCCAATGGCAAACTAACGCAAGGCTACCAGTACATCCAAGCTCTGAGGGATAAGATCGATCCGTAAGTACATCCACCCTCTTACATCACCCACACCTGTCTCGGTCTGATTGTTTATCCGTGACTGTAGGTATCACATTTCCGAGTGGTTAATGTTATGAGAATGAGATGCTTCCTATGATACAGATTTTTCTTATACAACATTTAAAGAGAAGGTTGAGTTCTGTGAAGAGGTGAAAAATAATTTGTGAGCGTTATCATTGTATTATGCAAGTGTGGAAGAACATCAGATAAAAAATGTTCCCTGAAAAGCATTGCTCTTCAAATGCCTTAATATTCTAAATATGGCATGTAACATCATAACGATCGGGACAGATTTTTATGCTACAGTGTACATGTTTGTGTCGTCCCATATACATCTTTCTGGGTACAGTGCTTGTAACTTTACCAAGACTGGGCCAAATTTCTTATCATTTTTATGATTCCAGAACCTTGCAGTACACACCAATACCTAAATGCTAAATGATCAACCTTTTCTGATCCATTCCACACCTTTTCTTTCACAATGCAATCGGATGACCAGAACTCACCTTTATCTTTTAATGTCCGGAATGGTATATAGAGCCGATTAATGCTTTGTGACGATTTACATTCACCTAAATTGTAATTAAATTGTAATAATATAGTAAGGAGAATTAGGGAATCGATCACATCAGTTGTTCCTAATTTTTATAATTAATGGGGGTCTGTTTGCACTCAAATTTTGATAAATTTCAAATAGCGCCTGTGACCGTACAATGGTAGCTGTGACCATGAAAATCTCAGAATATGTAGTTGTGATATATAATTTCCAAACGGGAATAGCTAATCGGTCGATTTTAGTCAAGAACATTGTTTTATAGCTTAATTAATATCTTGACCTTGAGAGGGAGCTACACAACATAAAGAGTTTATTGTTTACAATATTTCATAACTTTAGACTCGATTTCAACTGCAACAACGATCACTGAATATTGTAGGATCGCATATGAATCCAATGTGTTCATTTGAACCAAACTCATGACCCCATACCAAACTTTGTATTACCTTTAACAGAGTTGATATCAATCACAACTATGTACACAAGAGATAGGGGAGTGCAAACTTGGGATTGATTACAGGACTTCCGATTGATTTGGATCAATTGCAACTCTCTATATTAAAGACGGGGTCCAGATGTAGATCCCATGTTGTGCAAACAAAAACCTGTGGTGTTTCTACGAAGTGCAAGGATTCGATAGATAATAAACCAAGATACAACTGTGTGGTTGCACTCATATTCAATGAACCTTTGCAAGATTCTTAGCAAGGAGCAAAAGCATAGACAAAAGTTGAGCTTTGAGCTTAATTTTATCAGAAATCATGGACAAATTGTCAAAATGTATTTTGCCGTGTATTTTTCAGTAATTATATGGAAAATTTATTCCTCAAGATCTTCCGGAAGTGAATGTTCCCTTTATCCTTGAGTTTGCCCATACATTTTTTGTCTTTAGATATACTACCATGATATTGGAAAACAGCGTCTTTTGATAACTATTAAATGTATAACCCTTTGGTTTTCTTTTTAACCTTGTTATCTAAACCTCATTATTCAATCCCCATATGCAGGTATGTGTGTGTTTTTTATTTAATGGATGTGACTAGACACTAGTAGCTAACTGTATTGATTGTTATATGATCTACAGGAGAATCCCAATAGACATGGCTACAGCAGAGAAGAAGGTTCTGGTCTTAGGCTCCGGCATGATGGTACCTCCTGTCATTGATTACCTGACCAGAGACAACAGTCTAGCCTGTACTATAGGTGAGTCTTATTCTTTGTAGACTGGTGTTTTGTATTTCTCCTTAATACCTCCCTTTGTTTCTTTTCTTTTAAAGGCATCGTTTAAAGGCATCGTTTAAAGGCATCGTTTAACAATGTTAAGTCTGAGATGCATGGCCCTACGTGTTATCAGTGTCTGTGATATGGTGTAATATTGAAGCCCTGACGAAAATATGCGCTTCAAAATGATCATGAAGTGCCTCAAAAAAGTAAAAATCTTTGAGTGATCGGTTTTACCATACTCATTTTCCCCAATAGACTGTAGTGTTATAAAAAAAACATTCGGAAAACAAAAAATAAAAATTTCGATTTCAAATCATAAATATCTTGAATATCAGACAGGTGATCGGCTTGTAAAAGTCATGGGATTCCTAACTGACCTAAAGATTTATAATTATCATTGCAGCATCAGCTAAATCCAGGATTTTGTTTCAGAATCTGAGGCAATGTTACAGAGTCACTTTAATTTCCTCACAATCTATCTTTTCACTTGTTATTGTTACTATTTCCCTTTGCCTTTATTTTGCCTTGTTAGTCTTCTTTAATTGATAAAGATTTTGATGATGATGATGATGGCAATGACATTAATGATTATAATAGTAACATCAGGGATGCAGGCTGGAAAATGTACTTTCAAAATCACAGATTTGGAGAGAAACAAAATACGATAGTAATGAATAACTTGATAAAATTAGATTTACCGGGGGAAGATGTTTTAAGGGATCTGATCCAAAGTGAGATACTAAATGTTTCTTATCCATGTACTGTAAAATGTTTTTCTTCTGAGGAGAGTTTAGAGTCTGAGGTGAATGGCTCAAATGTTTTTATTTGCAGTGAACTGTATCAAACCCTAATGTCTTCAACAATTCAACAATTGTTTTTAACTTGAGATGGACAATTTTTTTTAGATCACTGAGGTTCAGTTTATTGAAAAGGAACATGTGCTGTTACTGTATGGAGTGGATGAGGTCATCTAAACAAGAATTGACTTAATATTTTGTAGTATTTTAGGGAACATGTTTAGTGATAATCTATGCAACAAACAACATGATCTAACAATGAAAGGGAATATGTATCAAAATTGCATGGAGTAGACTGGGTCATCTCAATTTATTTCCATCAGAAGTTTATACATGTACTTTGGAACATATTGATCATTTTATGATATACTGCAGTCATACCTGTCTATAAAGGACATCCAAAGAAAATGGTAAACATGTTCTCTGTGGCCTTTCTGTAAAGGTACAAGTGCACTTTGATCAAGTAAAAAACTTGCTTTTTACAGATAGAAATGAGAATAACCACCAGTAAATTTTGACTGGTTACCTGGTTAGAGGTAATCATTATGACAGGTTAACTGAATTTGAATTTTATATTGTGACTTCTTGCCCCCGTCTTATTAATCAATTGAAAGGGCAACTTATTTGCGATTTATGTCAATTGCGATTTTGTACATAACGTCACCTGGCTGGCAGAAGGGCGTTAGCTCGAATTTCAGGTAAAAATTGAAGCGTTAAGCAGAAGAGCGTTAGCACTAAATCGCCTCAAACTTTTATAAAACTGACTTATTTCCTGAAAAAAATTGTGGCCGTGTTCCTCTATAACATTTCTATTAGTCTTGTAAGTTTCAAAACAATTTTCGGGACGGAAAGCAGTTTAAATATAAAACAAATCTTTAAATGCGAATAATTTGAAAAGTAGTTTTCGAGTAGCTCATCCGCTAACGCTCTTCTGCCAGCCGGCCGACAATAAGAGATAGGAGACTGCAAAGTTGCAAATAATTGGAGGACTTTTGATTGGTTTTGTATCAATCGCAAATCTTTATGAGATGGGGCCCTGGTATGAAGGAAGTCGCTGAAGGTCTAGACAGTAGATACCCCAACTCAGGTGATCTTCATGTTTCTATGTATTTTTTTAGCTTATGATATGAAGGAAGTCTCTGAAGGTCTAACAACTCACTACCCTTACAGAGGTGGCCTGTTTGTATCTCGATGTACCCTTCTTTTCACAAAATGGCAGATATGCGCATGGTTCAGAAGAAAACAAATGATCCATAGAAAATTGCTTTTGAAACTTTTTGTTCTACATGTAATTTCTTGTATTTATCACTATGCAGGATGAATAAATTTAGCATGTCTGAATACATCAAATTCTGAACTGATTATTTGAACATTTTGCACATCAAGAATACATTTTTCTTCAATTCAACTGTCATTTTGTGATAAAGGAATATTCATCCATGGTACTTGGAGATTTTGTCACAAGTGACAACTCCAAGGGGTACTCTTAAATTGTATTGGCATTATAGCAAGGAATGTTGAATTTAACAATATCTATAAATTTAACCTATTTCTTTCCGCTTTTCACCTTACCAGTAGTTCTCTTATCTTTTCCCCTGTTGTATTTAATCATAAGTTTATTTTGTATAAAATTGATTTCTTTGGGGATACCAATTACCCTTTTTCTGAAAGAAGAAAATATAAAGCATGACATTAAAGATATAGACCAGTTTTGGAAATGCCCCCCTCTCAAAAAATGAAGTGGAAGCTCTTATTACCAATCATGTGAAAGAATATGTTCTGACTAATACGTGATGATAAAAAATTTGCCTGGAAACCGCCTACTAATTGATATATTTGGTAAATTATCATATTGATCCGGCCTGGATAGATATCGCAAATGCACGTTAACATTAAACATTCAGGCATATATTTCTGCTTTTTTGCCAATTTAGGTTTAAGTATGGTCATCTAAGCCTCTGAAGGCAATATTTGAACAATATTGAATGGATATTTTGCACCCAAAACCCTTAAACTGCAATTTGACCACTACTGGTCTATCCCTCTAATGATAAGTAAAGTCATTCTTCTGTTAATAATATACAGAACCTATTTTATATTTGTAACTATGTTTATTTTCCCATACCGGTCTTTAGTATTGGTGATACTAAGTTACTGTATTATTATTAGCTATGTTTAATGTTTTACTAGCAGGATATCTAATACATACATTTGGGGCTCACCTTATTTCATTGTTTTTCTCCCCTCTTAATATCATCTACTCTTCCTTTCCCTTTTTTTTCTCGCAAGAATGGATAAGGTTATAGTTCTACCCTTGTAATCTGGTAATCTTATAATGTCTTTACCCTTTTTTTCTTTTTTTAATCTTCAAATTTTGATGGAAAATATTCTTTACTGGCGTATTTTTTCCTTGGGAATATAAATCATCATGAAACATATAATAAATAGTAACCTTTTAAATTCTACTTTGAATCTCGTTGGCAGGTTTGATAGGGATACCTGTTCCATAGCCATTAATAACTTACCCAAAGACACTCATATTGTATTTTCAATTTTTACTAACGTTATCTAAATCAGTTGATAATCATATTGATTATTTATCATTGTAGTATCAATTTACATTTAATATTTATTTGTCCTATATTCTATATCTCAGTTATTGTAAACATTTTTTTTTTTTAATTGAATAAACCAAATCAATCAATTCAAATCAGAATGTAATGTGCAAAGAGAAATAGTTTTAAAGGCCCACTGTCCTACTTGTAGCTACTTGCTCCCTCTATATAGAAAACTTCCCCAATCGGTGCCTGTTGGTCCCCTCTTTTTCTTATGTTAGTTGAGAGCTGAGTTCATGAGATAGCCACCTGTCAGTGACCTCGCTGTGTGGTCTTATCCCTTCTGGCCCAGTAGATTTGACTGTCTTTAAATTGTACATGTTCAAGTGCCAATCCATCAATTGACAGAAAACAGTGTGCCAAAGTGTTAAATGGGTACCAGGTAGGATGCGACACTCATTGTTGGTCAAACAGTTTTTGAGCGACACGCAATGCCTGGCTGGAATGCTCCCCAGGGAGTGGAGATTGTGCACACAGTGTGTGGGGGCAAGTATTGAATCCAATGGCCGGGTAATAGTATATCTGTAAAGCGCTTAAAGACATCATAGATGTATTAAGCGCTATATATATAAGCAGAATTATTATTATTATGTCTGTGTGTATTTTGTTTTATAGCTTCTGATACGAAGGAAGTCGCTGAGGGTCTAGCAAGTCGCTACCCTAACACAGGTGCTCTCTATCTTAATGTTGACATGCATCCAGAATTACTCAGCAAATGCATCAAGGAACATGACCTGGTTATGAGGTAAGATCAGATGTCAAAGAACAGTCAGAATCGTCTGATTTCGGTCCTAAACCTACAGACATTAGTTTGCAGCCATGTTATGAGAGACTGGTATTATATAATAATGTAAAGGTTTTAGCTTTATCCATTCAGTTTGCACTTTTTGTCATAAAATGACAACAGAAAAGTAGTTATGTAGTCGATGTCAGTCATTATTGAAAGTATATCTCCATGTATTTTGAAGAATTGTTTCTTCTGATAAAGCTGAGTTCCACTTTCTGTGTGTAAGCTGTACTTTACATTTTTTTTATTTTGTTTTATGTTGGTTGTCTGTCCATTGACACAAAGTTGTATTTTCATCAGATAGGATCTTTAAATGTACATATTCTGTCAAAACTACCCTCTGTGTCTTCCTGTGTAGTATGTTGCCTCTTCATCTACATAGTCGTATTGCCAAGATGTGCGTAGAGCATAAACGACACTTGGCCACAACCAGCTACACATCACCGGAACTCAGAGCCCTACAACAAAAGTGAGTCAACGTTGAGGATATTTGAGATGATGTTGAAAAATCTAAAAACTCATTTATATCATGTATCCACAATTTCTACATGCTTCTTTTTCTGCCAGCAGTATCAAGAATTTTTGTTCATGTTCAAACCATATGATTTTCTCTGAAAATTATATGTATTCTTTAGTTATTTGTTGCTTGGTCAATCACACCTCACAAACTTTTATAATCGTTTTCAGGCAACTACTTCCATACATACATAAAATGTAGATAACCAGTATCTTGTATATTTCTTCCACCCTCAGTTGAAGGTAGTGTCATTGAATAGACAGTTCAAGACACAATAGGTAAAAGCACCAAAAATGCTTTTGTTATCTACATTATCTAGCTTTTATAGGTTCATGTTATTTCTAGTTGATGGTCAATTATATCCATGTTATTTTATAGAAGAATATAAAAAGTGCATATTCCTTGTATACTTATTTGTAATGCTTATTTTGAACAGTGCTGTGGATGCTGGTATAACCATAATAACAGAATGTGGATTGGATCCGGGGATTGATCACATGCTGGCTATGGAATGCTTTGAGAATGTCAAACAACTAGGAGGAAAGGTAGCTATTTCGGTCAATAAGTGTTGTTTTTTTAAAGATGTGTCATAAAACTTTAAAGGTATAGATCAGTTCTGGTCATGCGATTGCATTGTGAAAGAAACGTAGTGGAATTGATCAGAAAAGGTTGATCATCTAGCATATAAGTATTGGTGTGTACTGCAAGGTTCTGGAATCAACAAATTGATAAGAAATTTGGCCCGGTCTTGGTAAAGTTACAAGCACTGTACACAGAAAGATGTATATGGGACTACGCGATATCTATCCAGTCGAGATAGATATAATAATTTACCAAAGATATTAATTAGTAGGTGGTTTTCCTGCAAAATTTGTATCATCACGTATTAGTCAAAACATATTCTTTCACACGATTGGTAATAAGAGCTTCCATTTCATTTTGAGAGGGGGCGTTTACAAAACTGGTCTATACCTTTAACTAATAGTTTAAACAATCCTCATGAATTTTTCAGCAGATGTGTATCTTTTTTTAAAACTCTGACTCTATTTTCTTTCATTTGATACACAGTTTGAGTATACTTTTGTTTCTGACTTCCATTGTGTATCCAAATAAACACATTTCTTTTATTTTACAAGTGAAACAGACTTACATATAAAATGTGATCATCAGTCTGTGTGGACTTCTTACCAGTATTTTGTTGTTCTTAAAGATAAACTCGAGTTCTGGTAATGCGATTGCATTGTGAAAGAAAAGGTGTGGAATGGATCAGAAAAGTTGATCATATAGCATGTAAGTAATGGTGCGTAATGCAAGGTTCTGGGGTCATCAAAATCATCATAAATTTGGCAGAGTCTTGGTAAAGTAACAATCACTTACACAGAAAGATGTATATGGGACAACACACATGGTGTCGGGGCTAGTACAACCCTGATTTCCTTATCTTTCTATGCTCATTACTCAGCCAGTATACATTTTCTTCCAAAATTGTTTGGCACATGACCTTTATTTGTAATCTTGAACATTCAGTGTAAGTTTCGTTAGATTCTGTGAGAATTAATTTTCTTTTTTTACCAGAACTCAAGTATATCTTTAATTTTAAAACTTTGTGTGATAGGTGAAACTGTTTGAGTCATGGTGTGGTGGTCTTCCAGCTCCAGAGTTTTCAGCCAATCCTCTCAAGTACAAGTTCAGGTAAGTTGAGATATTCGAAGGAAAGAAATTGAAATATGATATGAGATATTTATATAATATTGGATGGCTTTGAGTGTGATACAAGAATATATTGCTCAAGCTTTGACAATATTGGACGAGTCAAAGACGAGTCTAATATTGTCTTAGCGAGAGCAATATATTCTGGTATCACACGAAAACAAAGCCATAAAATATTATTATTATCTATATGAGTCTGAATAGCGAAATATTTTTTTTTGACTTACCTCAGTCTCAGTAAATATGGCTTTGTTTTCGTGTGATATCAATTTCACATCGATATCGATAGTTGAAGTTCCTGGATGACTGAGCAATACAAAAACAATATTGGTCAGTCGTCCGGGTACTGCGCTAAAGATATTAAATACACTAATTTATTGTACCACTTGGAAGCCTTATATAGATACTAATGTACGTTATTTGATAAATACCAGGTATGAAGAGTTGTTTTGTGTAGGTTTGTCCTAAAGATGACCCCTCCCCCCTATCCTAATCATGTCATACTTCAATCCTTTAGTTGGAGCCCTGCGACAGCTCTGCTCGCCATGACCCGAGATGCCAAGTACCTCAAGGACCAGCAAGAGATCTACCTCCCTCCCGGGATGCACATGGATGCATCGAATGTTAACAGCTTCAACTTCCTACCAGGGTTCAACCTGGAAGGCTACTGCAACCGTGATGCCATGCAATACGTCTTCCTCTACGGAATCCCAACAGCGGATAATATCATCAGGGGCACGCTCAGATACAAGGTAGGAACCACCATTAAAACTACTTGGGGATGGGAGAGGGAAGGGGAGAGGGAGGGAGGGGGATGCTAAAGAATTATGTTCCTCAGGCTTAATGCTCTAGAAAAGGATTTCCTTTCTTTTTATTGATTGAAATACGTCTTCCTCTACGGTATCCCAACAGCGGATAACATCATCAGGAGCACGCTCAGATACAAGGTGGGAATGGGAAACCACCATTATAACTACTTGGGGGATGGGAGAGGGAAGGGAAGAGGAGAGGGAAGGGAAAGGGAGGGGAGGGGAGGGAGGGGAGGGAGGGGGGGGGGGGGGGAGAGGGGGTGTAAAGACTGATGTTCCTAGGGTTTAATGCTCTAGAAAAATGATTTCCTTTCTTTTAGTTGCTTGAAATATTAGAAGGCAGATGACAAGGTGATAGAGGAGTCTCTAAAATGATTGATGAAAAAGATAGATTGATGAAAAAAAGAAATGGAATTGAATTGAATAGAAAGCTGAAAAGATCCATAGATGAAGAGAGATATGGACACATATAGATTCATTTAGGTATATATATATATATATATATATATATATATATATATATTTATAGATCAATGAAATAGGTAAGAAAATGAATGCATAAAAAGCTTGGCATTTATGTTGATCGATTGTTTAATAGTTGAAGATACTTGCACTCCATAAAGGCTACTTTATATATGCCCAGCAGGTGTGAAGGAGTCTTTAGTATAGTCTGCTAAGTGGGTTCAGCTTCATACTTACTGGTGCGGACTGAGATGACTATTGTCCTAGTCCTTCGTTCAAGGATATGATGGTCTGTTTATTAGGGTGTACAGTTTCATACTCACTGCTGTGGATCGATGACGATTGTAAAATATAACATTATTCTGTTCTTTTGTTCAGGGATATTGTCACGTTGTTACTGGGCTGAGGATGATTGGCATAGCGGATGAGAACCCACACCCTGCCCTAGATGAAGATGCTCCAGAGATCACATGGGTGAGTGAGTCTTCAAGATTCAAGATAATTTTATCTGTCCATGCATGCAAACTTTACATAGAAATTTTGCTTCCAATGGCTTTTTTAGCTCATCCGGCCCGAAGGGCCCGATGAGCTTAAGCCATGGCGTGGCGTCCATCCGTCCACAGTTTTCAAAATGCTTCTTCTTCGTTATTTTTCAACCAATTTTGATTCTAATTGTTTCATATGATAGGGCTAGGAGGGGGATTTAAAACTTCTACACAGAATCATGCTAATCTATGCTAATTTATGCTAATTTATTCGAAATCACAAAAAATGCTTCTTCTCCTTAATTTCTCGACTGATTTTGATTTGCTTTGCTTTAATCTGGTAGAGCTAACTTTGGTACACTAAACTTCTACACAGAATTTTGAAATTGTTCTCCATTAATTAATTATGGTAATTTATGCAAATTTATTCCAAAAATAACAAAAATTGCTTCTTGACCGATTTTGATTTCGTTTGCCTTATCTGGTAGAGCTAAATTTGGAACACTAAACTTCTACACAGAATTTTGAGATTTTGCTCCATTGATTAATAATGGTAATTTATTCAAATTTATTCCAAAAATAACAAAAAATGCTTCTTCTCCTTCCTTTCTTTTTTAAAGTTTTGTGCAAAATATTAGGATGATTATTTGATCCCTCACAGAAAACACTTAATTTGTGGATTAAAAAGAGGAGAAAAGAGAGGTTGAAAATTAAATGTCCCTTCCAGGGCATCAAATTTTTAATTTTTGACCAGTTCAAAAGTGTACCACATAAAATTTACGATATTTGTTGTTGCAAGATGTAGATGAGCGATACGTCATTGACGTTCTGGTTGACAGTGAACATACAAATGCTAGAAAATAAAATACAAAATTCAACAATAGAAATATAGATTATGATTATGATTATCTCAAAATAAACCTGGCACAGGGTATTTTTGGGGCTTGGTACAATGGAGATTAGCACTGTAGCATGATAAGAGTTAAAGCCCATCTGCACTAGTTTGGCCAGGAGGGATTAGACCTCCCTGCGTGGTCCGCTGGCAGGTGGTTATCTCATCAAATCAGCCCTCAACTTGAGAAAAAGGGCACCATGGGGGAATTGTTGGCTATATATAGGGCGCAAGTAGCTAAAAGTCCCGGCCCCCCCCCCCCCCCCCCCCACTACGAGAACGGACGGACCCCATGCGTGTTACCAAAATGTCCGTAAAGTGGTACTTTTCGTGCGACAAAGTCCGGCCCGAGAATTGTAAAAAAAGGGGTGTATTAACTTTTCACCCGAGATTTCTTTAAAAAGGGGGTGTTTTTTCTTTTTTTCTCTCATCTCTTTGGACTCCTGAGAAATTATTCCGAATTTAGGGTGGTACATTGAGCATTTTTCATGATTTAGGGGGGTCTCCAAGGCAGGAAAGCCAGCGAAAGGGGGGTTCGAAAATGTTGGCAGTCCTCAGATAGGGGTTGCTTTCAAAAAGAGGGAACAAGCATATGCGTACCCTAAATAACAATGAGTGGGGGGCCGGGCTACAAGTAGTGCAGTCCCGCTTTAATGTAAGATGATGCTTGAATTAGCGTGAGACCAGCAAAAATCAAAGTCTTGTTTCTTTCTATACAGAGAGAGCTGCTATGTGTGACCATGGGAGCAAGCATGGGTAAGGAGTTCACCGAGGAGGAAGCGATCAACATGGTGTTTGAAGCAGTGGGCAGGGACCAGCAGAGACTACAAGCAGTCAGAGAGTATGTCATAGAATAGGATGTTACTGTAGTTCTTTATCGACACTTAGGTTTAGCAGTTTAAGAGAATCAAAGTTGATAAATTTATGAGTATAAATGGTTCATTCATTGACAAATAAACTTTGGTTTAGATGATCAAATTTGATTTTTATTTTTATTTTTTTTTTTGTGGGGGGGGGGGAGGGGAGGGGGGGGGAGAGAACTCTAGCCTATCAAATAAGAGATTGATTTATTAGTCTTGCAGTGCGAATAGTGTCCAAAATTAAATTCACCTATGGAGAGCTTGAAATAGTACATTTCATATTACTGTGTAATGCATAGTTTTTTATTTATTATACAAAATTATATATTAAAGTGGCCTTTCAGAGTGTTCATCAAAGTGAACAATTGCATTAAATGATGTGGCTTTTGGTAGGCCTATTGCCCTCTGGATCAATTAAACAGTGGTATTAATTATTGCTCATATTTTTTTATTCTTTGATTTCAGTTTGGGACTCCTGTCGGATACCGTGGTTACGAAGCAGGGTTCTCCTCTCATGACTCTCTCTCATCACTTGTCTCAGAAGCTTTCATATGGTAAGGAACTTTTCAGTATTCACTGTGCTTGGAAAAAAATGAGCGGTTGCGTGGATGCAATCAAACACCTAATGAGCCGTGAGGCAACCTTAAAGGTATAGACCAGTTTTGGAAATGCGCCCCTCTCAAAAAATGAAATATTTGATGATTCCAGAACCTTGCAGTACACATCAGTACTTATATGCTAGATGATCAACCTTTTCTGATCGTTTCTTTCACAATGTAATCGCATGACCAGAACTGGTCTATACCTTTAAAATCCTCGCAAATCTTGCAAATTTGTCTTCGCTGGACTTTTGTTTTGTCATTGTATAATAGGTCCTATTGATGTTGTTGGATAAAGTTGAGACATTTGTTTTCTGTTTGATGTAGAGAACACAAACATTAAAGCTCCTGTTAAGTCATCAGGCAAGATGACTTGGTCCCATACTGCATGAACATTCCGTAACAATTCTTTATTTTTTATCTGTGAGAAATAAAATGATGACCACCTGCCAGTGCCCTTGGAGGGAGGTCTAATCCCTCCTGGCCTGGACTAGTGTGGAGGGGCTTTAAGTGAATTCCCGAAATATAGTATTGCAGCATCAAAATTTACAAATCTACACCGCTCACAAGATTCATGAAAGTATTTTATAAGAAAAATGTCTGTTTTTACATAATGTGGAGAATCGGAAGGACTTATTTTGTATGATACATACATACTTCTGTTACTCATCAATCCACACATGTCTTCCTCTTCCCTTTAAAGGTGAAGGAGAGCGTGACCTGGTGATCATGCGTAATGTGATTGGTGTGGACTGGCCGGACGGTACTCAGACCCATGAAGAGATAGGATTGACCGTCTATGGAGAGCCAAACGGTCTCTCAGCTATGGCTATGACTGTAGGTTACCCGGTAGCCATTGCAGCCAAGATGGTGCTAGAAGGTAAATATACCAGGCCTTTACATTTCTGGATGTACTACATGTATGAACCTCAAAGATTCTGTTGATGTGCATGCTTTAATGCATCAATGTTTACAAACAAATATTTGATCACCCTCATGCAAGACATGCTTGCTCTGTAGAAAACTTTAAATGAATTATTATGCAGAATTTTATTGTCTTATCCAAACAAAATACTGGATTACTCTTTAGGCATGTAATGAAATGCAAGTAGAAATAGCATTTGTCCACATACTTGTCACTGCATGCATTGTTTATTGTTATTCTTGTCTATTTTTCGCTCCCCTAATCAGTATTATCACCCTTATAATTCTCATCGAACATTTTGATGCTTCTTCCCCGACCAGGTGAGATTCAGACGAAGGGTATAGTCCTACCCCTGTCCAAGGACGTCTACAAGCCAATCTTGAACCGTCTCAAGGCCGAAGGCATCCGTGCGTCCACCCGCTCTATCAAGGTCTAAACACCACTCCCAAACCCTGCTGAAACCAAGCTGCACAAACCTGAGGGGAGTTTCACAAAACTTGTCATCAGTGACAAATGACAGTTTTTGTTATAAGCTACTGAAATCCTTGCTTCTAACTGATTTTTGTCATTTGTCATTGAAAAAATGCTTTGTGAAACAGGTCCCTGTATCATACCTGTGAGAAATAGACACCTTTGAACATATTGTGAATAGTTCTAATCCAGAGTTACCTCTTTTTATAGTCTGCAACATCTCCAAGAGCAGAAGGCATCAGCGTGACTCCAGGGCCCCATTTCACAAAACTTGTCATCAGTGACAAATGACAGTTTACGTTATAAGCTACTGAAATCCTTGCTTCTGATTGGTTATCAGCAGATTTGTCACTGATTTTTGTCATTTGAAATTGAAAAAAGGCTTTGTGAAACGGGTCCCAGGACTCCTGAAACAACGTAAGGAACCTGAAGACAGTTCCCTTTGAGTGATAGATACTAAGCTTAATCAGTGCCCGCTCTTACCCAGGCTGAGGACCAAAATGATGGAGCATCGAAGGTTTTCAGTAGACTTCTGTATCACGATCACAGACAGACAGACAGACAGACAGACAGCTGATGTTGCATGTATTGCTTTGATTCTGGTGTGTGGGAGGTTTATACCTCATGACTTTTGCCTTTCATGGTAGCTGAGATTTAGATTAACCTTTGTGTATGTGTGTGCTGTGAGCATTGTGTTTCTATGAATTGCGATAATGATAAAAGAAATGTTTTACAATTTTGAAAGATGCTTTATGTGGCTTCCTGTCTATGCGTGCAAACTGAAGTTTTGTTGAGCTGTGTAGCTTAAACAAACGAGCTTCCATTGGTAGGGGATATTCATAACGTGTAGTTCAAGCATTTGGTAGAAGTTAAAACTAAGTCTTCTTCTGATTAGTAGACAAGGGTATTTATACAAGTTCATTGTTTAGTCTTCATGTATTCCACTGTTTACATACATTATTTTTTAAAGTCCATATTTGTCAAAAAAATTCTTCATTTAATTTCTTGGCTTTCAGCTTGTGCTTTGAAATATATCACACTCTATGCAAGACCTCATTTGCATGCATTATAAAAGTTTTTGAAATGTTTCTAACTTATATTATTCTTTATGCTGGCAAAAATGGTCCTACAACCATTACTTTGTATTAAGCAATTTAGACACTCGCTGTTAAAAAGTACACATGCCAGTCCCTTTTTTTAAAAACAATGTGGCCAACTTGTATGACCAAGTTTTGAAACATGAAATGTGCCATTGACTAATTTTTGCAAAAATGGTTTACTCTAATTGACCGTATTCAATGTACAGATGTCTCTTCTCAGACACCCTGGTAATGGACTCCAGGGTTAGAATCAAATTAGGTGCCAAATTTATTGTTATAGGAATATCCTGGAGGTCTGGAGATTTTTTTTGGTCACAGAATTATTGAACTTGAATACATTATTAAGCAGGTTTGGAATTGGTTGATTTATTTTGTATGCTTGGTGATATATTCTTTGCTTGGTTATTGAATGCACATCATATTGTTTTAAGAGCAGAGTGTATTCAGATAGTGTATCTGGTGTAAATGGCTGAAATCCACAGAGAGATCTGGGTTGTTTTGTTTTCTACCTACTATTTATTGCTGGCTGTTTTTCAATTATTAATCAGTTTATCACCTTTCATTTGTATTCTCTTCTTCTGTGCTGTTCAAGAGGCTTTTTAAAACGTGTGATATTACCATACATTGTATACGTACTTCCTATGTATTCTATGGTGTAAATGGTCATATTTACTTGCTAGTATTGCATTTTAAATAATAATAATAATGAAATATAATATTAATAATAATAGTTTGTTCTTGTATAGCGCTCATATCTGTCAAACTTGACACTCCTGGCGCTTGTATTACCCAAGCTTTAGCAAAATAATTCAAGAGATGCAATGTATGAAGAAGCATGTCACTGATGTCTACTTCGTGTGTGTACAAACATTCAGTTGTTCATCGCATGAATTATCTGCAGAGTTAAAGAAAATTGACTAGATGGAATATGAACCTCTTGGGCACTGACTGTGCCACAAACTCATTTTCAGTAAGTTTTTAAATGATATGGACATGATAAATAAGTACATGTATTGGATGAATCCTGTTCTCTGCTGATGTTATGGCCATTAGTACCATTTATTACCATAACACAGCCTTATTGCCGGCAGCTGAGGATATTGTACTTGTTTTGCATTGTATAAATTAGTTTCATAGTAAGTTTCTGTGTTTGCCTTTTTCAATATTCATACCGTACTGTTGTACACATGCCATTACTAAGGATTTTGTCAGGTTTGTTATGGTTGGGTCACAACAAAATCATGATTCTCTGAATCTCTTCACAAGGTCACCTTACTTAGTACTTCGAAGCACAAAATGTATTGAGAATAACAGATACTGTTAACGCTTTACTTATCAAGCGTACTGCATTTACAATGAAAGTGTTATTTTGTATTTATGTGTATCCCTCGTGAAGGTTTAAAATCGCTAAATTTGCAGTCTAGTGTCAGTAAATTCATATGGTGATATTTCATTGCCTCCAAAAATATAGAAATATTTTTGTAGGTGAACACATATTGAATATGTTTTAATAGGAACCTAGGAAAGTAATTGAATAAGAAGTCAAGCTGATAAGAAGCACAAAGTGGGAAGGTCATGGCATGAGGCAATGTTTTTTTAAGTGTGATTGAAACTGTAAGAGGTATACGTGTGTGAGAGCAATATTGAACTAAAATTCAAGCTAAAGAAATACGAAATACAAAGTATTCTTATTTTGAATTCCTAGTAAGAGAGTAAAATCGGTACACCATAAATTTAGCATAGAAAGTAGATTTTGTAACAGAAATATGGCGAAACAATCTTTACTTTCATGTTTCTAAAAATGTGCCCACGATGAAAAGAAAGTGGTTACTTGCATGATAAATATTTTAGAATAGATTTACTTCAAGCATGTTGCATGCAATAGTATTTTGGAAATTAATTATATTTTTAATATTTGGTTTCTCTCTTCTATTGTGTACGAGTAAAGAAGGTTGAAGAGTTATGAATCGGCGAGTGGAAAGTTTCAAGATAAGATATATTGTTATGAAAGGTGACTTCTAATAGATTGGATGAGGGTGTAGAGTCTTTTTTTTAATGAAATAAAGTATATTCAAATATTCAACTTTGCTGTGTGTATTTGCATTCATTGTCATTTAGGCGAGTGGTAATTTGAGATCGTTAGTATCATTTTCATTCCCAAGTATCGCTGTTGTGTTCATAAAAGAGCAGAGCAAAGTGTAATGAAGATAGAAGATATTGAAAAAGTCCAAGATAAATTATACCTTTTGGGTGGGTCCTATAAATCACTGAGTATATAAGATGATCATTGAACAATAAAAGGATTGTTTCACTTGATGCTTGCTCTGATCCAAGCTCAAGTAAATATAATTATGCTATTAATTACATCTTTGCCATAAACATATGAGACTGGACTTATCTGGGTATGAATCTAATTAAATATGCTTTGAAAATTGATACTCATTTCTGTGTTTAATCCCGAAATTAATTTACGTTAAACAGGGGGGAAAACATCACTGATAGTTTGAGAAAAACAATGCATGTATGATTATTTGATTTTTGTAATTTGATTGCAAGAAAAAGCATTTAATTTCATGAGTGCATGAGAGAGTTACAAATGGCGACGAAGCGATAATGAGTGCATATGTGCGAAGCGAGCTCTCAATTAGTCTCTTCACAAGACTCACAAAGTAAAATTGTGATCATACATCGGCAAATTTATTCTAAAAATATGACACAACTTTTTTTTGTTTTCAGTACATGGAGCTACATAAATTGTCTGTTTTTCTTTTTGAAAGATATTCTTAGAATATTTTGTTCTTGTACCTGAGAATATATTCTGAGCTTTCTGCATGCCCTCCAACATTAAAAAAAATAAATCTCTCCCCTCATCAACAATAAATATGACAGGTAGTTTGACAATTTTGTGTATAAAACAGGTGGTTGGAGACTAGCTCAGATATGTATAGCAGCTTAAAGTGACTCGGTAACATTGCCTCAGATTCTGAAACAAAATCCTGGATTCAGCTCATTCTGCAATCATAGTTATAAAACTTAAGGTCAGTCAGGCAGGCGCGGATCCAGGATTTCTATTTTTAGTCTATGATAAATCCCTTAATAAATAGGCACCTCTATACATACGTCATTGTTCGACCCTATACACCCCTCGCAGGAATCTACGAGCCTCCAGTGACCCACTCCGTCTTACATACAAAATAACACAGAAACTAGCTGGATAACTGCATCTAAATATTGGAATAGACAATCACCATCTGTCTCTTCATTTAAAAAGGGACTTAAAACATTCTTTTTTGTAATCCAGAGTTTTAGGATTTTCATTTTTTGTAGGATTCTTCTTGTGGTAAGCGCTTTGAGCCGCTCTGGGAAAAGCGGAGTATATAGATAATAATAATAGTAATAATACACATAAAAACATTCAATCGTGTACATATTGTTTGCAAAACAAATTTTATTATACATACTTACATATTTCTGATTTTAATCACAACCCGAATTAGAATTTGTATACTGTACAATGATTCAGGTAAAATTGGAATCATGCCCTGCTTAAACATTCAGATATGCCATAAAGCTGTGTAATATATATATATTTTGATGTGCATTATGCTAATATGTTGTTTCATTTAATTTAGCCAGTTTAACGGATCATGTTTTAATGAGGCTTAAGAACTTCAAGAAATGGTTCCCGGTAGTATTTTTTTTTGGGGGGGGGGGCTTATTTCTTGTCATTCTAATAGTCTAGAGGGCCCGAGAATGCTTGCTTATAAGAAAGAAGCATGAAAGAATGAAAATGAAACTCTTGCTCTTTGGTTTGAAGAAGTCAGTTTCTAGGTTTCAAAAAGATTAACGTCTTCCCGGGTTTCCCACCCTTTAACATCAAGGACAGGTGAATATTCTACAGGTAGACACTTTAAAGGTAAAAGACTTGGTACAAGCAATGACAAAAATATACATTCAGTTTTTGTTGATATTTCCTTTGTGGCATTCACCCATACAGGTAGAGTAAATAACCGTGAGAAGCTATATTATCTTAGCAAAGAAAAAAAATCATACAGTTCAAACTAGTTTTCCTGCAATGAAAAGTGCGAGTCTCTACTGATATACTTAATTGTGAGTATATCAGGAATGCATACACTTACAATCATAGGGTTTCATATTCACCCGGCTGAATATAAAAATACACTGTATGAAAAATTCCTTGTTCAGATATTTCATGACATTCTTTTTCATCCTGGTATATATACAAATGCACCAAATTAAAAACTGTACTCCTTCCTAAAAGCGATATCCTTGACCGATACTATAGCTGGTCATCCTATGAACTATGATGTAACTGTTTAGGCAAAGGGTCCGGACTTATTATGTCAGAGTCCATCAGCATTAGCTGAGATTATGATGAGGGTCAGAGACATCACAAATCTAGAGGACAACTCCATGTTTTTTATCTCAGAAAGCTTCCTTGAAATGCTCCTCGTGTGTGCTTCGCTATACAACTCGACTGCTTCATGATCACAAAGTCAAAGTCACAAGGTCATTCACTTCCACTGCTTCATGATCTCAAAGTCAAAGTCACAAGGTCACTCACTTCCACAAACATCCAATGTTCTTAGCGAGTTGAAGGAAAGTTCGCGTTCATTATTGCAGAGGTGATGTAGGTCTTAGGATGCATGTCATGAATCCTCGGGGCTATATTTGCAGACGTCTTCGTATGCTTGACCTTCAACCAGTTTACCCTAGGAACAATAAAACAGTCTCATGATCATCCTTGAATTCTGAGAACATTAAAGGGACTTGGTAACATTGTTCAAATGGGAGCAAATGGTGCTAAGATAGCGACTTCAATGCTAAATGTACAATTAAAGATAATCTGAAAGTTTAAGTGAGAACAGACCATTATTAATGACAAAAATTGAGAAAAACTGAATTGATCTTTTCCTTAATTCTCCCAACTACATTATTACAATTTAATTACATTTTAGGTGAATGTAAATTGTCACAAAGCAAAGAAAAGAAATATGCGTCCCATGCAATGTCATACCGGTATATCATCTACCTCTGATTATAATTAAAATAAAAATTATAATTTTCCACAAACAAATTGCCTTGGTCTTGCCTATCTAATCTCTTTTTAATGAGGAGCATCTTTAATTTCATTAACATTTTTGGCATCTTGGCCTTTACGCAATAAACTCATTCATAGCACATTGTGTATGTTTTAACTTACCGAGTCTGATTTGACTGTTACACTGAAATTCTTCTCATCAAGGGAGTGAAGCGTTCCGGTTACCCCTCTGTAATCACCATTCACTATACAGATGGGTTTACCTGTCACAAAAGAAAAGCAGAGAAGGCCTTTGATATTACTACTTATGAATACTATTCAACATATCAAATACTGGTTCAAAGATGCACTTCGTCTAAACACAAACTGAAAAGAGCAAATATCTTCTACAGCTCTGTATGTGTACTATTTATTTACTAGGAAAGACAATATGATTTGAAAGACTTGATCTTACAATCAGATTCAATCAAAAATTGAGAACACAATGGCAATTTGAAAACTACAAATATTACTAAGCATTTGGGATCAAAGCATTCATGAACAGTTGAATTTATGTCCAAAACAATAGTTCCTTCAACAACAACAAATGGGAAGAAAAAAAAGAAAACAATAATAACATAAATATGCATGTGTTTATTTTCACAACTATCGATTAACATTACATAAATGTAAAGAGTTATATTTTATGAACAATGAAATCTAACAAGAAGAGAAAACACAATCGTTGGTTGTAACTACTAAACCTTTCAGTCTATCCTCACGCAAGCAGCTTTTACACACTGAATAGAGACATGATTAAAGTGTTACCAGAGACTCTATGAACTTACCAATGTTTGGAATGACAGTTTCTAAATGAACTTGATCAACTTTGACCTTTGTCCCTGTATCATTGAGCTTGACAACACCTGTGTAGCGGTCTATCACATCCTGTGGAATAAACAAGAAGTTTGGTATTGGTACAAGAGAAGTCCAAGGATGGGCGAGCAGACCTTAGCTAGGTTATTTAGAACTTTTGTATGATCAGGATGCGAGTGTGAATGGGAGTGTGTATAAGAGTGAATGTGAGTGTTGACCCACTCTTGTGTCACCTCACAAAATATACCTTAATTTTTCTCTGTCTCTGACCTTTTGTCTGTTATTGCCCTATTCATGTTGGTTATGAATTTTGTTATATTATACTTTGTGCAAATAGCATCTTGTTCTTATCAACATTGATTCGTTTTTCAAACCACATTTGTAAGTATTGTTGCCAATGTAAATTGTACATAATTTAGCCACTTGGCTGCGAAGTGCAATCATAATAAAACCTTTTAAATCAAAATCAAATCACCATCTCCATATCATCATCATCATCACCATTATCATCTTCATTCATCTTCTTCATCATCATCATCATCATCATCATCATCATCATCATCATCATCATCATCATCATCATCATCATCATCATCATCATCATCATCATCATCATCATCATCATCATCATCATCATCATCATCATCATCATCATCATCATCATCCCCACCACCACTACCCCCATTATCATCACCATCACTATTATATCCTATTACTTCTGTTATTTCAGCTACTAACAAATTTCTCATAATTACTATAATAAATTGTATCTTGCTTTCTACTAGCTAGACTTCTACCGTTAACGCTTTTACTACTACTGAAATAGGAACTCTATAAGGTGACAAAATTACCTTGACAACACCCTTTTTTTTCAAGTACTTTTCCCCCAGTCTCTTGGTTGTGATCTTCACGATGATGCCCTTTCTCAGCCAGTAGTCTTTCTTTTCAGTCAGTTTAGATTTCTTCCTTGCCTCTTCCTGAAATGGAGAAAAGATCAAATATTCTATTCATCAAAACATCTCACCGAGCAATACAATTCAATATGGTCTATCTCCTCTTGTACACGATACCATTATGCTACCACTTGTTTTAGAAAGTATTACATTAAGCTCATTTAATCAATTTATTTGCCAAAAAATATATGCTTATATATTGTCTGTTTGGAGCCAAAAGGGCATTACGGTAGCTTTTTGTTAAAGTACAAGAGTTATTAAACACCCTTATTGCTTCAAAGAGATAAAACAATTTGTAGAGAGCAAAAAAAGCATTAAGGGTGTTGTGATTGAGTGGATATGTCATTGGTCTGTGGACCACAAGGTCTGAGGTTTGTGCTCCGCCGCGGCACTAATGTCCTTTGGCAAGACATTAATCTACACATGCCGCACTCGCTCCAGGTAATGTAAATGGGTACCTGGCAGGAATTAATTCCTTGAGATGCTAGAGTGTCGTAACGGTTGTGGAGTGCCAGGAGTGTCAAGTCTGACAGATATGAGCACTATTCAAGAACCCACTATTATTATTAAGTAAAAGTGTTCTACACATAGTAAATGCACTCCTGACTCTAAGGAGATGATATGATGACTTCTTTTAATGCATGGACGTACCTCCATGATTTCTTCCAGGGCTGACTTTCTCTTTCCAGACTCTTTCCTGCTACTATCTTTCTTCTTGGATGCACTGACTGCTGCTGCTTTCAGAATGTTGGTCCTTCATCCATTCAAAAGATGTCAAAGAAAAAAATACATAGCCAACTGATTATTCATGGTATTCTTGATTATTCAATTCAATGTAATTGAAAATTAAAATCATGCTTTAAACATTTAATTCAAGTGATTTGGTCTGGGTAATACACCATACTTTCACAGACAAAAAAAAAAAACTGAAGCAACACAGCACTTTTTACATCACAGTTTAGTCTAAAAAAAGTTGCGATTTTGCTGGTGGGTAAGAATCTTTCACACAATGAAACAAAAACAACAACAAAAAAGAACTTTTGCATAATAACCTTCTTCATCATTTCTTTTTAGCATTGTACGTAACTTTGCTTATTTGCTGTACGTATATAGAAAGATGAAAGAACAAAACATGAGGGCTGAAATATTTAAAGGGTTTGACTGGGCATACTTTTTGTCTTGGCTGGTTTTAGAGTCTGATTCTTTGCTGCCCCCTGCTGACATGCCGGCTGATGACCCAAAGCTGAAAGTCACTTTCTCTTCTTCATCGTCTCGCTGCAGTTCTGTGAACTCGGTTTGCTGTAATAGGAAGGATAAGACACAGAGGTCCATCATAGAATGCAAAGATGTCATACATCCAAGAAGTTCATTTTTAAATTTTAACCGTGACTAACTCTTGCTCAACGACCGATCTTTGACATTTAAATACTAGTAATCCTTGACTCATGACTAACCTTTAACTTATTTCTAACCATTAATTTATAACTAAACCTCAACCAAAAAACCCCAGATCCATGACTTTACCTATGACCTATGACTCATCTTTGAGATTTGACTACCGGTTCTACTAAGTCTTGACTCACAAGTAACCCTTGACCTGTGACTATAAGCCATGAGTTAGTAACTACACAGTAAGTCTAGATCCAACAAACCCTGACCCATAACTACATGTAGCTTTTGACCTGTGAACAGCCCCTGAAGTGACCTCCTAGCTAACCTTTGACCTATGACACTATGACTTATGACTAACCCTAAACCTGTGACTAACCACCCATTTGCAACTAAGCCTAGACTCAACAACTCTTCATCCATGACTAACCTTTGAACCGTTAACAATCCCTGACCCCTGACTAACCTTTGACCCATGAGACTCGCCACGGGCAACCTGTTCCTGGATGTTTTTCATGATTCTCTCCTCATCGTCCAAGATCAACTTATCTTTCTTCTTCAATGCCTCCTGTCGTTTCAATGTCTCCGGATCACGGTCAATGTACGTAATGAACCATCCCTTCTCTGTATGGTCCACGACACAGAACCCTGTGACAAGGACAGAGGAGCATCCCAATTAATTTGCAAATTCATTTAAAATATAGTCAAATAGTCAAGAAGGCCTTCATTCTCCATCTAGGGATCATAAGACAAATACATGAATAAACAAAAGCTTTTTTAAGGGTCGTGTTCATGTATCTTCCCATACTCCTTTGCCTCTAACTCCAATTTAGGAGAGACAAATGTGATGACTATTTAAAGAGGTATATATATATATATATATATATATATATATATATATATATATATATATATATATATCGATAGAATATTTATCAACAGAAATACAAAAGAAACTCCATTTGCATTTGAAATACCAGTGTGGTATAATACATGTAGAGAACCAGAAGGTGAACAGAAGGTGTCCGCAAGTACGATTTTATCATCACCTGATTTATAGCCATTATGGCTCAAAGTATGACAAAAATATTAACCCTGATATGTTTAAAATAAATGCTCATAAAAATATAAACAAATCAGAGTTACGTGATCTAATTTCTCTCCAAATGAAATTCCATTACTAGAACTGGATATAAGCTAAACAGTTTGACAACCATTTGAATCGATTCAACGTCTAGTGCTCCAGGAGGGGGGGGGGGGGGGTGTCTCACAAAGACTAAGATCGACTTAAGTTGAACTTAAACTATGGCATCGTTCATGCCACTGTATGCTCTCACCATTTACTGGTATTCGTATTTCAAGGGAAGTACAAATCGTGGTCACAAATCTACAGAATTTTCATTTTTTGATAATTCATTATTGAAGGGAAAAAAATATTATCTAAAGATCATAAGGCAAGAGCAACCACTGGCATGAATGGCCTGCCATAGTTCAAGTCCAACTTAAGTCAATCTTAGTCTTAGTCTTTGGGAAACATCCCCCTGAAAAAGTTAAGCCTTCCTTTCTTACCTTCTCTCCCGAGCCATTTCACAAACTCTGTCAATGTCTCCCACTTGGTTGAATTCATGTGAGTATGTTCTCTGTCAGAGATATACTCATTGTAGACAATGTTTGAGTGGACACGGCGAGTGTTGAAGCGGCGTCGCAGCAGCTCCATGAACATATCAAAGAACTCACTATAAAGGTTTTATTTGGGGGGAATGGTGAAACATATCATACATCTAAGTTAGGATCAAATAATACTACCAGTAAATAAAATATATCATTTTTTTAATATGCATAAAAAGGTATTTTAGAGACACAAGTTTGGCAATATAGCATTCTAAGAACTTTCATACAAAATCAGAATAGCAATTTGATATATTTACAAAACTTTCTTATGGTTCATAATAATAACCTATAACATTTCAAAGAGCACTGCATCATTTATGCTTACGAAAAAAACTACCCTGCAAAATCTTTACATTATAAATCAAGAAATAAGTGTAAATTTTTCAAACAATGCAGTCAAGGCAATCTTTCAAACTTTGCTTCAATGACAGAATCTAAGGAGAGAGTTAATGATATAAATGTTGCAGTAAAGACATACAAAATGTAGCATTTCTCCTCATTATAGCACCAACTTGAAAAAAGGAAAAAATTTACATTTTATTACAATATCACATATAGCAAGCAGACTAACGTAATAGTACAACTAATCAATGATCATTATGCTAAAAATAAAAAATGCACAGTCATTATTATATATACAAAGTTGTAACTAAAGTGTTGCAGTCATTGAATAAGCTTGAAAAGTAATCATGATTTCACTCACTTGGAGAAAGTGTCCAGAAATTCTTCTTCATTATCTGCAAACAGTAAGAGCTGCCTCTGATGTGATTCAGATGTGAGATGACACTTGAATCCATTCTAAATAAGAAAATTGAACAAATACACAAAACACTTTTTAAAGTGACTTGGTATGTTTCTAGGGCTCTTTGGCAATTGCTAAATTATTCTTTGTCAAAAGTAAGGATTTTTCAAGATGATAATGAATAGAGGGTGGCTAGTTCAAGTCATTATATTCCCTTTTCTCAACTACACTGTATGATCTACCCTGGACCCACCTGCCTGGACCAATCCCTGCTAATACAAACAAAACCTATTGTAGAATTTTGTAATACTAAAAGGTACATACAGTTATGAACAGGTATGAGCATAGGCGCTAGAGGTGGGAGGGGGCAGGGGCAGTTGCCCCCCCCCCCCACCAACGAAAAAATGGGGGGGGGGGCAAAACGCATTTTTCATGATGAATTGCTTAGATTAACTTAACACATGCGCGCACACCCCACCGTCTGTACGGTATCCAATTGTATTGTGCAGCAGTTTGCCTTGAATCCTGTGAGAAAGGGCATATTATAAGTCTTCGTTTTAGGAAAAATACTCCAAAAAAGACAAGAAAATTGACACAAAACAGGTAAGAAACATAACAACTTTTAATTCATGACCATTATTTGAACAATTGATAAAAATTTAGTAGATTTTCGTTATGTTTTAATAGGGTATCTCCACGCTGTAGTTACGAGTCAAAGTCTGGATACCCTTCTGAACTAGCGCTTAAAAGATTTATAAAATATTGCATGTAAACTTCTTCAAATCACCGATTTAAATCAAATGTCTGGATAAACAACTTGTCCGGACACACATCTCAGTAAAAAGAAAACATTTAGGTCTACATTAGTCGTTAATAGCCCTTAGTTTAGGTCTATCTCACTCACAGCATGCAGTACATTATGACACACATATATAAGACTAAGTTTTAGAATCAAGGCAGAATCTACTCATAAAAGAATGAATTGGTGGGTCTACACCCAGAGTCTTGTTAATTTGCTTACCTCATCTCGACATTGTTTCTGACACATTTGACAATACCATCTCAATTTTTGTAATCCCTTTGACTTGACGCGATTGGCTATCGCTTTAGGAGTAAGAAATCCACCTGGTTTAGGCATATTGGTGACTGGGTTTTCTCCTCTGCTACTCCGACAAACAACAACGAGAAAGTGACGAATAAGAAGCTAGGGCTAGGGTCTAGTCTTCGTTCATGGGCAGTGTAGTAATGGCGCAACTGTCCGATAGGCTGCGTGTGAAGGTCTAGTCTTCGTCCATAGCAAGACTAGTGGTCGCGCAACTGCTCGATGCGGTGCGAGCGAGAATGCGCTGAGCTTCTTCCAGATAATTCAGCGGCTCCGCCACAAATATCTTCCAGATAATTCAACGGCTCCGCCACAAAAACATTATTTTTTACATTGGACATGAATTTCTCCTAGTATGCAGGGTCGGCACAGACTCTTATTTTTATTTGACACTGACAGACAATTCCATCAAGTCTTCAGCAGAGCCTAGCTCAGAAAAATAATCCATGCCCCTTATTTTATTGGCATATTTAACCCTCCCCCCCCCCCCCATAAAGAAGGTGCACCCATACCCCATGAAAACGGGGTATCTGTTGAAGGAAAAGGGCCGCACCTATCAGATTTAATAGGGGCATCTATCAGATGTAAAAAGGGCATTTTGAAAGGGGAAGGGGTTAGGGCACGTATCCGAAGGAAATATAGTACTTATTAAAAAGGGGCATGTGTCAAAATAAAGGGGGCACTTATCAGAGGTAAAAATTTGGATTTCTTGCACCTGAAAAGAGACACTCACCTGAAATGAAAAGGGACACCTATGAGAATGGAAAAGGGGCACCTGTCAGACTTTGACATGGGCAATAAGTGGGGTGAAAAAGGAGGCATTTATGAGAAGGAATAGGGGCACGTATCAAAGAAGAAAAGTAGCACTTATCAGAAGGGGAAGGGGGCAATTATTACGAAGGAAAGGAGGCACTTGTCAAAGTACGACGTGTACCTGTCAGATTTAAAAGAGGGCAATTATGAGATGTGAAGTGGGCACTTACCACAGATGAAAAAGGGTTCTTATGAGAATGGAAAAGGGACACTTATTGCAAGGAAAAGTGCACTTATCAGATATTTTTTTTATCAGAGGTGAAAAGGGACATTTACGATGAAGTGAAGGGATCTTATGAAAAAAATGGGGGTGCACATATCAAAAGGAAAGTGGCACTTATTAGAAGGAGAAGGAGCATTTCTTACAATACACAAAGGGGCACTTGTCCTATGTAAAAAAAAGGGGGGGCACTTTGGGGTACCTGAAGAAGTAAAGGCACTGTAAGCCCCTGCCCCCCCCCCCCCCCCCGTCGGGAGCTCCGCCTCTGATAATGGTAATCTTGAGAGTGCTTCCATTTAATGTATTACTCAATGACACTCTTGGGGTCATTTCACTGGAGGTCTTTCTGCGGCATAATGGTGGACCCACAAACGGAAAGTTGCTACAAAATATATCATTTAGAATTATTTGCATGGGGCTATTCTAAATCAAAAATGTTATGTTCAAAATATGTATTTAGGAAAGTGTGTCAATTAAATCGTAAGATGTAGTGGCATAGATACAGGTTACAAGAGAGACGCCCCCCCCCCCCATCGATTGATGATAAAACATAATCTCAAGGATTTTAAACATAATTTGTTGATTGAATCAACATTGAGAAAATGTCAATAGCCTTGTCACGAGTCATATACACGTGCGAACATGACCATAATATTATGTAATCCGAAGACGATTTCGATAGATAATAGAATAGCTGTGTTTTTCTCGAACGAAAGAGGGAGAGAGAGAGAGAGAGAGAGAGAGAGAGGGGGGGGAGGGAGGGAGGGAAGAGGGAGAGAGAGAGAGAGAGAGAGAGAGAGAGAGAGAGAGAGAGAGAGAGAGAGAGAGAGAGAGAGAGAGAGAGAGAGAGAGAGAGAGGGGGCGGGGTTGGGAGAGAGAAGGAAAGAAAGAAAGAAACGTCGCAATCTTACCTGTATTAACATTTCTGCTTGTTGAATTGATTATGTACAAATATTTTACTTTTGTTTAAATGGAGAAAAAAAGGAATGGAGGAAAATAAAAGTTACATTTAATTGAAAAAGAGAGAGAAAGATGGGGGATGGGGGAGAGGTTGATACCCTCCCCGAGATGTTCGATCGATGGCCTTCTGAATATTTCTCGCATTTCATTTATTTATCAAATCTCTCATCGACCTCGGTTTTGTTGCAGCGCCATCTCTTGTTGATTTCCCCAAAATTAGATTTTTTTTTTCGAGGCAGATATACGTGCGTATTGACAGACAGGCTTGAATTAATGAGTGCCCACCCCCCCCCCCCCTCCCCGAATTTCATCCATCTTCTGACGGTTCCATCAACTTGACAAATTATTTAATCTTATTTATTAAAAAGTAACAAAACCTTTAAGTGTCTGGGTTAGCCTTTACAAAACAGGGCCCGCGCTATGGCGGGGCTCGGGGGGACTCGAGCCTTCTCCCCCCTCCCCCACTTTAAAGTACGTTAAAAAAAGAAACAAAAAGAAACCAAACAAGGCCCCGGCAAAAATGTCAATTTTTTTTTTCTTCTGCTAAATGCGAGACCACATTTACCTAAAAGTAAAAACACGTAGGCATCGCCAATCATGTCGGCAAAGCTTCCGAATTCGGCAGTTTGTGGAATCATATAATCATTTTTTCCCTTCAATCTGCGCTTAAATGCAAATTTCACCGAACAAAATTAGTTTCATATGTGTGTCCCATTTTGCTTAAGTTTGTGGCAGATTTGATTTGGAGAGGCAAGGGTCGCGCTAAGTTGCGGTTTTGCGTCCCCGGACTCACCCAAAACCAAATCTCACGCACACATAATTTTTTGCAAAAGCGTTGATTAATTGCGTCCCGTAGGACGCAACAAAAATTTCCTTGTTGGTTTCTGGAAGCTGGAGAAGAATTATTCGCACAGTGTCCCCCTACTTTTCAGGTACCCCCTAAAGTGCCCCTTTTTAAATAGGAAAAATGCCCCCTTTGACTTTAGTTAAGAGCCCCCTTCACCTATGAAAATTGCCCCAATTGAGAGGTGCTCAATTCACTTTAACAAATGCCCTTTTCTTTTATAATAAGTGCTATTTCTCACCTCGAACAAGTGCCCCTTTTTATTTTGACACGTCCCCCCCCCTTTTCTTTCAAATAAGTGCCCTTTTCCCTTCTGATAAATGCCCCTTTTCTTTCTTGATAAGAGTCACTTCCCTTTCTCATAATGCCACTTCTGACACCTATGATATAGATGCCTTTATTAAAATATCATAGATGCCCGTTTTCCTTCGACAAGTGCCCATTTCCTTCTGAATAAGTGCTACTTTCAATACTTACAAGTGCCCCTATCTCATCTCAGGTGAGTGCTACTTTCAATACTTACAAGTGGCCCTATCTCATCTCAGGTGAGTGCCACTTTTCAGGTACAAGAAGTACCCATTACTATCTCTGATATAGTGCCCCTTCACCTCTTACAATTGCCTCTTTTCAATTCTGAGAGGTGTCCCTTATATTTTGACAAGTGCCTCTTTTCCTTTGTATGCCCTTCTGTCATTCTTATAAGTGCCCCCTTTTCATTTCCGATGAGTGCCATTATTCAAATTACAGAGGTGCCCTCTTTAACTCTGTAATAAGTGCCACATTTCATATGTGATGTGATAGTGGTGCGGTTATTTTACCTGACAGCTAAGAAAGCACTTAATGTTAGTAAGCAACAAGAATACCAACGACTTGAGGTCCTTTCCGAGGGACCTGGTAATAAGGATTAATGCCTTATCAAAGGCAAAGGGCACTAGCGCATCGCCTTGGTTTCAAACCCGGGTCACCATATTACGAGACCACTGCTCGTAAGTGCCCCCTTTCCCGTTCTCATAAGTGCCTTACCTCTCTGGTGAGTGCTCCTGAGCTTTCCTTAACATAACATACTTTACTTCCATTTCATGTTAAGTACTTACCTTTGACTCCTGTGTTCCATGTTTATGTTCCTTACTGTCTTATTTTGATGATCGTTTATGTACATGAATAGATATTTTATCCTACATATTTTTTTCTCATGAGTTAGGCCTATATGTGGAAATAATAGGCTTTCCGTAGACCCTGCAATTATTGTTATTATTACCCCTGAATTACCAGATACCCATTTACACGAGGGAGAAATATAGGTAAAACAACTTGAGTCCAAGGGTGTGAGCACCGAGCCAGGCTCGAACCTAGAACATAGCGTATGAGAGTCAAGAGCCTTCACCAATATCACAGCTAGTGCTCCTATATAGAGGGTGCTCCGAAGAGAGGTTAATCATAGTCCACTCTATGTTAATCCGCATGCAGTCGATGGTTGATTTATTCCATATTATTTGGGCCAAAACGATTTTATATTTAAACACTACCGGCTTGTTCAGTTTTACACACCAATCTTTTCGTATATGGTCCTTCCATATTATATGCGTAAGGACAGGGGTTGCCATCTCCTCTTTCATGCTTGTTTTGTTTTTACTTCAGAATGTCAACAAAGGTCTTCTGTTTAGAAGGGGAAGTCCATTACGTTTAGTATCGATCGTGGAGACATATTTCCCGTGAGATTTATAAGTTGTAAGAAAATGATCAATTAATAGGCTAAACTGTGATTTGATGAATTCGGCTACGGGATAATATATCATAAGACGAAAGAGATACTCTGCGAACTGTGCAGTGCCGTGCACCTGTCAAAAAGGGTTACTTTATTGGTGACCTGCGACCTTAAAACAAGACACTAATTAAACTCGCTTGATTTGTGAGGTGACTGCGCGAATTGAACAATATGATCTGCGTCCCCTCTAGCCGTTTCAGGTCATGATCTATTTAACTGGACCCTCCCATCAGGTTAAGAATAGTTTAGGGGTGTTATATTTTGCAGAGTGATTCCCAAAGGAGTTCACTCATCCTATACGTTGAAATGAACCGTATAGCAAACTCTATGCACCTGTTCTCTTCCGCATTGCGCTCGCTGCTGTGCGACATACGCGCGCTATAACACCGCTGGAAGTCTGTTAGGCAATCTGTCTTAAAAAGGTAGGAGACTTGATATGCATGCTTTCTGAGATTAATTGATAACAAGTGCCTATTTAACCACCCCTACAGGTTATCTTGTTGCTGTCAGCTGTTCAGATAAAACGCTTATCCCTCATAAATCGATATATACCTCCCCATATACCACTGTATATTCAGCTAGTAGGACGTCCTGTAGTGCGCCTGTGTATTGACACAGGTTATTTCCGTATGTTTTTCGGTTGTATATGTCCGGCAATAATCACGCTATACAATACTTTTTCACGACGGTGGCTTCCTAAAGCATACCCTTTCTAATTTATATGTGAAGCCCCATGCTCAAAGGGTGGGAGATTGCTAAAAGTCTTGTAAAAAGTGTGTAATCAATTTTATTGTACCTTACACTCATACAGCTATACATGTATACCGATACAGGGAGTCTATTCCAACTCCCTGAAATGCCGGTGGTGTATACGGATCCCATTCGTAATGGAATAATACTTGTGTGTATGATGTCATTCTCCCATATAAACCCTTGCCCCATTCAGAATTGTTGAGTCATGATTCATTTGTCTGAAAATACTCTCCATGATGTTGCCTTTATTGTATTCACGAACATCTCTATATTTTTTCTACTCCAATTTAGGCAAGCTGTATTTCTGATTGTGTATGTCATTTAAAAAATTATTATTACCGGTATGCCCTGCCATTTTAGAAGTGATCTTTGAACCGTCGATACAATACACAGGACTCATTACCCAATGGTTTGAACGTATTGCTTCATGATTGCATAGCGCATTCCACGTCCTAGAAACGTAGCTACGCTTAGCGCTTTGCTGTGTAGCTTTTTCGTGCTCGTTCGCGCACGCCAGCGCACGTACAAAATACGTAGCGCATGCACACAAAGCCAATCCGAAATACTCCATGTATTATGCATATACACATTATATGCAACAAGGGTCCGCAACGAGTTAGGATACACGGATGGTCTTCCGTCATTAAAACATTCTTTTGTGGATGAACAGCTTTTAGAATTTGCTGAAATCTACCGTAGGATTACTGATTGATATTTCAGCAAAAGAAAAAGGATATTCATTCTACTTTGTGACATCTTGATTCTTCAATTAAAGCACTTCAAGTTGGAGTACATCTCTCTTATTTTCGAGATCGCAAGCCGGGAACGGATCTGTTCCCCGTGGGCATTCAGCCCGGTGATTGTTCTAACGACGCGCTGTACTAAGTGCGAAGAAGCTCACCTACAGAAAACAATCTGGTTAAAAGAGGAAAAGCGTGGAAATTCTCGAGTCGTACTACTGAAAGTGAAAGGATTTATTTTATAAACGACAGTATTTTATTACATCATTAGTGACTTGTCTCAATTCATGATGGATTTATTTCAGAAATTCAAAGGAAAATTCAAGGGGCCTTCAGACGCCAACACCGAGAAGCAAAAGGGTGAAGGGCAGTCTACAGTCCCAGCTAAAAACATGTCGTACACACCAAAGAGGCATTCTCTCAACACAGACTATGAAATATCAAAGAAGGTTCTTGGACTCGGTATCAATGGAAAAGTGCTAGAATGTATAGACAAGAAGTCAAAGGAAAAGTTTGCCCTGAAGGTAAATATCAAACTTTGAAAATTCATTAAATTGAGTCTCTTTCTCTCTCATGACATGTATCTCTCCTCCTCCTCCTCCTCCTCCTCCTCCTCCTCCTCCTCCTCCTCCTCCTCCTCCTCCTCCTCCTCCTCCTCCTTGTCTTCTTTTTAATAATCTTAAACATTATAATTTGAAAAAAGTTTGTTTTGTATATTAAAATAAAAATAAATGTAGTAGATCTATGATAAAGTAATAAATACATGTATACTCAGGGAATAATTTTCCTGGTATCGCATCGCAATTTGCTATGCATTTTTGCATGACTGCTATACAAAATATCTTTTGTGTAGCAGTTTTCTTCCATAGAAATGTACAGAATTTCATTTGAAATATTTATCCATCGGCTGAAATTGCTAATCAAAAAATTTGAGGAAAATTATTCCCTGATACTTGTTACGATGTTAAAGTAGATTTGGGTTTATTATCAGGAAATATCAGCATCAGTGTACAGAAGTATGGTAATCCTGTTGAAAAATTTCGGTCATTTCATTGAGTGGTACTTGTTCTAACGTAAAAATTATGAAATGCATGGTGGGTGGATGCACGTGTATTACGAAAGAATGTGGTGTTGGTAGGACCAGCGTTTGTCCAAAAAAACTCCAAACTATTTTTTAAAGAGTTGAGTGGTGGTGCAGAGATGACAGATAAAGGAAGACTATTCCAGGAAAGCTATTACTTCTTTCCCCTTCTTTGTTACTTTAAACAAAGCTTTATTACGTACAGTGTATGTGTAGAAAATAAGTTAGGCAAGACTTTGTTCTTTTAAATATTTGCTATTAACATATATAAGTTAATGAAATTAGCAACTGTCAAGATGACCTGAGATAGCCATGATGATGAACATTGCAAACACTCTAAAGTCACAATATAAAAATTGTGTTATATCTTTTATTAAAGATATGAACAATTAATACATTCTACCAGCTGTATCTTTCAGTTTCATGGCCCTGACTTTAAAAAAAATATTGAGTATATTGAGTCTCTAGAGAATGTATGCTGAAACTAAAGCAAGAACACTTCCTTGAATGTAAAATTCACTTTGGCTCCTGTGTCTAATGAAAAAAACAAATGTTTCTAGTTTCTTGTAGTACAATGTTTTATTTTGTGTACCGGTATGTACATGTGTGTAACCTCTTTAGTAAGGGAGAATGTTCTTGCTTCTCGTTTCTCATAACAATGTGATATCTGAGAAAATTTGGTCACATCTAGTTCAAGGCACACAATGTAATGAACATGTTTGTAAAGTTTGTAAAGTTTGTAAGAGCATCTGAACATACATCCTGGACATATTAAACAGTACCACAACGAACATGTATTTTCAAAGCTATGCTCCGATTTCAGTAAGGTATTAAGTACATGTACAATGTACATGTACACAGTAGTACCACTAAACCCAATGTTGGCTTTAAGTTTAGACCAGGGAAATGTCACAGATATTTCCCTGTTTACATGTAGTGATGATGTACAAGTGTAAACACAATGAATGCGGAGCCCACATACATGTACTGTACAATGTACCTTCACCTATTATATATTTGTGTGGTAGAAAATGAACAGTAGGGATTCTGGAGTATAAAAGTCTAAAGCATCCTTCATTTCATGTTTATACGGATTTCTTGTAAACTCATTGTACAACTGTATGACTACTTGAAAAGAAAATTTCTTATTATAATTTATTGTTTAATTTTAATCAAATATTGCCTACAGAATCAAGGTATTTCTTGTTAATTTTTGAGGGAACATGTACATGTACAGTATATCAAAACTTAGTAGTCGACCTGCGGGTTGTACAAGTCTTACAACACTTTCTCGTTCAAGGCAGGCATGCATGACACAATGTTCCACGTACATTGTGCAGATTCCTGATTCACCTAGAGGCAGCTCACGTTACCCCCGTACAATACTTTCTACCAATCCTCTTGGCTTGATGTCTGGTTATTAAAATTTGCGTTTTAAATCTGCCTGAATACCAATACCAATACCAGTGAGCTACATGTACGTGGTGCATATGAGCACATTGCCCTTGGGAAGCAAATGATTAGCTTGTTCATCCATGCTGTTTTGATTGCTTTCTGCTCTACTCCTCCCTCTCCCTCTCCTATGATCACAGTCCAACCCAAGTTTAATATCCCGTTTGATACCAAAATTGGAAATGCCAGGGGGCATCTCTCAGCGGTTTATAACTTGGCGTACGTGTACAATGTACATGTATGTAGTCTGGTGGTGGAGTCTTCTCTCGCAATATTGAAATTGAAGAATCGGGAAGACTTCCTTTTGTGGCAGCCCCTCAAATAAAAAAATAAAAAATATGGGTACAGCTTAGAATGATATATCTTATAATAATAAAACATGATGAAATAGGGTTAGGGTTAGATGAAATAGTGAATAGGTGGCTGTCGCTATAGGAAATCCTTCTGAAGAATCTGTACTCAGATATTTTAATGCAGGTGTTAGGTCATATCAAGAACATTGTAAAAATCATTTGGAGTGATGAGTTATAAAATGAAATGCTTTTCAATTACACTGTATATACACTGTAAATGGAAGGCTTTTCAGTTATAAAAGCAAAACCTACAATAGTGCAAATGGCCTGTCTAAATCAGGGTACAGTAATTGATGGGCATCTCTGAAAACAAGGATATGATTTGAAACTTAATGCTACTCCTGTACTGTATACTGGTAGTTGAAAATCAGGAGATTCATTGCATGAATAATATTGATATTTTGAAAGCGATAGTGCTATTTGAAAGGAATATGGTGCAATTGTCTTTTCTGAATTTTTCTTTCATCCATCAAGATTTTGACAATCTTTCAAAACTGCACTCTAGCGAGTCTGTTCTCCATGTACACTAATGTATGAAATCCATATTCGCTTTGAGTTTAATACAAATGGTAGGCCTGAATTTGGGAGCGTAGCAAAATATTTCCAGTATTTTGTACATTACACTAATACACTTTGTGTTATATGGTCATTTTCCAGCAATACCAATACTGTCATAATTGTTAAGTTTCTATACCGGTAATTCAAATTCAAATTCAAATGAACATTTATTTTCTTCCATTCAATTTGACAACATATTTGACATCTGTTCAAACAATACAATTTATGATAATTTAAATACCGGTAATGTAATAGCTTTTCATTTTTTCATCTTTTGATCAAAGAAACATGAATAATTAAAAAGCACAATGACAACTGGTGTTTTATCATCATCATATTTCTCTTAGTTAAATCACAAATTCATATTGACCACATATTTTTGTTATTATTAATTATTATTTGTTATTATTATGTGTTATTGAAAAAAAAATAAAAAAATTTGTACTTCATTTGAAATATACGTATGTTTATGAGAAATATGAAAATAAATGAAATGAAATAAATAAAAAATGAAAAAATATAGAGTGTACAACATGGATGGACAGAGTATACATTGTACATGTACATTATTGTACAATTATTTTTATATGGACACTAATATAGGAACATTTTTGTCTGGGTTGTCTCAGTTTTATTTGCCATTTCAGTTACATGTGAACCCTAGCACCACAGACTATATTTATCCCATCATTTGAAAGAGTTGTATCAAACTTGATTACCGTACACACCGGTTTCTTTCAAGGCTCATGGGATGAGAGTCGTTAAGTGAAACATGGATGGAAGCGTGGAGGAGTAGGAATCTGGAGGAGGATGAGAGGAACGTGACATGAGATGAGAGCTCCTGATGCTGTCCCAGATCTTGATTGTTTTCAGAGTTGGAATATTGTTTGCCTTGCTCTTCTCAAGTGACTTGCATCACACTAAGCAAACAGCATTGCAACTCGCAAGAGTTTAATTGCATGCACTTTACTTTTAGAGCTTAAAATGGTTATTTAGTAGCATACACTTATTAGGTATATTTATAAAGGGAATGAAGTATAAACTATAAAGATATTGTACATGTATTTAATCAGTTTTCTGCGGTAGAATTCCTTATTAGAAATTGAAAACCGGATGATGCAATAAAACCAAAAATGTCATGTTCTGTAGTCTGTACTGTACACCTGGCTTATTTGAGTTAAAAACTCACACCTATCCGAGTCTCTGGCTACACTTTGGTGTTTTTTAAATTTTTTGTTTGGGGGGGGGGGGGGGGGTTATAACATGCATTGTACATGTACAGTATTTAGGCTGTATAAGATGAGCATATTACTGTACACGTTTTCACCAACCGTACACCGTTCTATTGTTTATCTCGAGCACATGATGTACATGCATCATCAATCGTCATGAATCAGCTTTGTATTTTAGGAAAATGTCAAGATTTTCTTTGTTTACACATGTTACTCTACATGTACATGTATATGATGAGACTTTGAAGCACATGAAAGATTAAGTTTGCCATTACCAAAGACCTTACTAATATGTGTAAAGCTCTACATACGTACAGTAATTGATTATATTTGGAGCTTGAAGACACGATTACAGTTTAAATGTACATGTACATTACTCTCAATATGCTTTTAATGAGGTTCATACTATATGTAAATCATACATGTGTACCATGTGTCTACTGTCATACCATGCTGATGAAGAGCTTTACACAATATTAGTGCTTTTATTGAGTCACGAGACAAAGTGCATCCGTCTTTCAGTGTAGACTGCTTTATATACCGGTAAAACGTACATGTACCGTAAGTACTGGTAGTGGTAAAGAATTACAGGTTTGCACAATCGTATCACGTGGACTTCACTGATCCGAAGAAAAGAAAAAAGCAGGTTGAGTTTGATAAGTTTATGTTTGCTCAAGTGTAGATGTCTGTAACTGATTGATTTGGGATAATGGAGATCAGGGTGCAAGAATAACACCAGTACAAGTGCACAGGTACCATGTACATGTTAGAAGTACCTGTACAAGTCATTGCACATCGTTTTAAAGGGAAACAACATATGGGGGAACTTTTATAAATTGTTGAATGAAATCAGAGTTGTGCTCATATAATGTCATACAAAGTAACACGTGTAAGCAAAACTTTCATATTTGCTACCAATATGCATTAATATTGCTGTTGGTCTAATCTGTGTTGCATTTACGTAGTTGACTGAACCCCTAAAGGCCCTAACAGCATTGCATCATGTTAAAAAGGTAGCAATTTTTTTTCATGGATTTAATTTGAGATGCAACAGAACCAAGAGCGATTTTAATATGTTGTTAACCTCGGTGTGGATTGCCACGGGTAAAGATTGATATCTTGAACATGTGCAGAGAGAAGGGATCAATAATTATTGAATTTTGAGGTGGAGCTGAGAATCTGGCGAGAAGTTAATGGCATTTAAATGAGGATTCTTTCCATAGCCTGCAGAGAGTCATCGAGGCTGCACTGGTTACAAGAGGAATTGCATAATGTTGGCTTGGGTGCTTCACGAGTTGCATAGATAGCTTCAGGGGGACTGCCCCCGCTCCTCTTCCACTCCCGCATTTTTCTGGTTGATGGTTATTTCATTCAATTTTCCTGCTATTAGTTAACTTTAATAGAAAGAACCCTGGAGTTTAGAATATGTAACTTTTTGAGAAACAAAATTTAAAGAAATTGCAGAATGACAGCGAGATTTGCTGTCAAAATGTCAAGCAATTTCATACAACCTGAGGAGTATGGGTTTGCGAGCTTAAAGGTAAAGACCAGTATTGGAAACGCCCCAATTTCAAAAAATGAAATGGAAGCTCTCATTACCAATCATATGAAAGAATATGTTTTGACTAATACATAATGATAAAAAATTTGCCGGGAAACCACCTACTAATTCATATATTTGGTAAATTTGTTTCTCTCATGGTCTGTGAGAGATATAGGGTAGTTCCATATACATCTTTCTGTGTATAGTGCTTGTAACTTTACGAAGAATGAGCCAAATTTCTTATCATTTTGATGATTCCAGAACCTTGCAGATGCTAGATGCTAGATGATCATCCTTTTCTGATCGATTTCACAACGTTTCTTTCACAATGCAATTGCATGACCATAACTGGTTTTTACCTTTAATCATTGCTATTCATTAGTTGTGATTGTTATGCAGGATTATTATGTAAAGTAGGATTCAAACTATGAGGAAGGTATTTTAGAAGCCTTAGTTTCAAGGAAATGAAAGGTGAGACAAGGAGGAAGTTGAACTTGAAGGGATTTGAAGATAAGAAATCGTAGTAGTAAGACTTAGTAGTACATGTAAGTAGTAACTGGTGAAAGGAAACCAGAATGAAACCCTTTTCATGTACATTTAGTCTTGTATTATTATACATGTACATGTGCAAGAGATATTTTGATGGTTTCTGATGATTTTAGTGCAAATATTTAAAATTGATACAAAATCAAGTCCAAGGTCAGTGTCTCAGTGTAAATACAGATTTTTAGAGGTCAAACAAGTGGAATATTGTATGAACCCTTGGAATATTCATACCTGTACACCAAAAGATACATGTAGCTTCGCATTTTGATGAATGCTGGTTCATGACTTCATGTTTATCTTTTTCTATCAGTCATTCCTAATCTAATAATGTGTCTTGGAGTGGATGCAGAATGTTGCAACTTTATGCACAGTTGTCCAATTTATCTGTTTGTAACATGTTTGTAACATTAAATATTATTAATCTACTTCTGTATCCAGATGATTCAGACTATAACATTTAATTTCTCACTTTTTATTATTTGACCAGGTGCTGGCAGATAACACCAAAGCAAGGAGAGAAGTGGAGCTTCATTACAGAGCATCATCCCTCAGCACTGGATTCCCAATCAACATCGTTCACATCAGAGATATCTATGAAAACATGTACAATGGCCAAAGATGTCTTCTAGTCGTCATGGAATGGTAAGTTCAATGTTTTGTCAGATTTTATGAGGCAGAATCAGTCGTTTCGGAAGATGATGAGATGAATGATTCAGAGATGAGTTTTTGGTATGTGCTTGGGAGATGTGATTGGTTTGGGGCGATATACAGTGTATAGGCACCATCGTATTACTTTCTTATTTGCTAAATTTGTCAGTTTGAGCCACAACGGGTATAAAGTTATTAACTTGTATACTTTTTATCACAGAGTTAACGTCCTTTAGGCTCCAAGCAGGGGATTGTGGTATTGAGAAGATATCATAGTTGTATTGCAAAAGAGATGGAAGTTGTATGTTGGAGGCTTACAAGAAGAGCCTCTTTTATAATTTCATCAAATCTCGTCTCATCTCAAATATGGCTTGCAAGATGAATCCATTCTAGCACATATTTAGGAATCCTTTTCAAAATCGAATGTGATGGTCTTCTTTCTTTCGAGAGAAGAGCCTTCTTTTATAATTTCAGCAAATCTCATCTCATCGCCAATATGATATGGCTTGCAAGATGAATCCATTCTAGCACATACTGTATTTAGGAATCCTTTTCAAAATCGAATGTGATTGTCTTCTTTCTTTTGAGAGAGAAAGGGAGAGAGATGCTTTGAAATCCGACAGCTATGGCTGTGATGGGCACCTGCTTCAATTTCCCTTTTCACAGAGGCAATAATATTCTTTTTATTTGGGATAAAAAGTCTGCATTGAATGATCAATCAATGAGCTATATTTTTCTGAAGATAAGTGTTTGAGCCCACGGATACAGAGAGAGAGATGGAGAGGAGGTAAGGAGAGAAGAGATGGGAGGGGAGAATGAGGTATCTAGGGAGAAAGAGAGAGAGAATGACTGAGATAAAAGGTTTCTTGCCAATTATTTAATGGAAGAATAGTCGGAATAAGTACAGTTGTAAGGGGCAATTATATAAATGTATTAACATGTAGAAGAGGAAGTGAATTCCTGTTATCAAACATAAGAAATTGATGTATGTTTATAAATATTAGGATGTCTTTTTAATATTAACACTGCAGCCATCCCCATCAGTGTAAAGTGTTTAATCAAACAAAGGGCCATATAATTCATGCTAGATGACACAACCACACACCAGTCTTTATCTGTAATTGAGGTAGAATCTGTGATTCAGCCACTTCTAGCTTACCCATCCACCTAGTTTAAATTGCTGAGTCATAAAAAATGACACACGTCGCATACACAACCATAAATCTACATTTTAGATGTATACATTATGGAGATGTACATGTATGGACAAAGGAGTTTGCTTTTGTAAAATTTCCAAGTAATACGAATGTACATCATCTTTAATGTGATATTTGTGTAAATCTGACAGAATGTAGGTTATTGTGTACATTTAGAGTTTTTCCCCTTACAATGATGATTAAACATTTTGTGCCATACACATAGTGACAGATAAATTTATTCTCTTTAAGATATAATGTACATGTACAGGTGTATAATATTATTATTTTCATGTAGAGTTGACAAGCATTTGAGATTTGTTAAAATATTTTAAAAAATTATTAGTAGGACTCAGATGTACAGGGCATATTATGAAAATAAGGAAATACATGAACTGAGAAGAGAAGAAAAAAAATCAATGCAGTATTGCAAGTGTGTGTCCAGTGAAGATTGTTTATAGGGTCATTCATTTTTAGTGTAATATATGAACACTGAAGCACGCACTGGCTGAGGTTAAATCTAAAACAAATCAATTGAGCATTTAGGCTTACTTGTGAAATAATAGTAATCCAGCCACTCACGATTGATACTGATAAGCCTTGCATTAAATGCAATGGGGAAGGTCATTTCAGTGATTGATTGATTGTAAGTAACAAGATTTTAAATTGGACACTTAAACAAATTTCATCAATTGCTCACTGTCACAAATTGATCCTGTTTCAGATGAAATTGAGTGAGGAGATTTACAGTACGGTGGACAGCAGAGGTCCCATTTGTAGTAATACGGTCACACAATTCTAGCAGCGAAAGCAAAAAACATGGGAGTGACCAATTGGGGCATTCACACCTACAGAAAAAAAGAAAGCTTTAAAAATTGATTTTTTTTTTTTTTTTTTTTTTTTTTTTTTTTTTTTTTTTTTTTTGCGTGTGTGGGCAGAACAATTTCATCGATCTTTGCTATCTGCATCGCGGTCCAATTCAGACTCTTGTGATTTTTCAGAATAATCGCGATAGTTTGCCGGGCACTCTGTGTGCGAATGGTATTGAGAATCAAAAATTGATTTATTTAATCCCAGGATTCCAAGCGTGTATACATTGTTTGTACATCGTCGAGATTTACCCATGCGCAGTCCGGACGTTCCTGCCGTCAAGCGTGTGTGTGAATGGTCGCCAAAATGATCCAATTTGCACTAAATTGACATGTATGGACTTTTGCCAAAAAAAAATATTGATCTTACCATCGTAATCCAAATCACACTACCGGTAATTGTTACGTGAGAATGGGCCTAATATTTAACATGGGAAATTTCCAAAAGAGCCCTAAAAAATAAGGACAAAGCTGCTTGTGATAAAACCAAACAGACACAACAACAAACAAACAAAAGATTTAGAATCACTGCAAAAAAATATCATGTTAGTCCAGCAAATCTAAAGTGGATCTCTTGCATAAAATTTAATTAAACGAACACATATTTATGCAAACAAACAGTATAGTATTAATGACTGCTTTGAGAGAAATAGTTGTTTTATTACGCTCAAGGGAAGGTTAGAATTGTGCTATTCCCCGAGGCTTGCCGAGGGGAATAGCCCAATTGTAACCTTCCCGAGAGCGTATGAAAACAACTATTTCTCGAATATTAAAGCAGTCATTAATACTTTTATATGCCGAAAAAAAATAGACTAAAAAATAAAAAATAAAAAATATATTTTATTGGTCGAAGATGAGATTCGAACTCTTGCGTACAAAAGGTGATGTATCTAAAGTCAGCGCCTTAGACCTCTCGGCCATCGCGCGTTATTAACATGCTTGGCAGTTTTGTACTAAATATACATTAAAATGGATTGAAACCGGCTTCGCGTGTGATGAATGCTTCGCAAAAGCTCCATGAAATGGACCCTTCTTTTACTTTTGCAATGCATATTGGCACGAACTTAGATCAAGATCTATCGGCAGATGTTGTTTTTTTGTTTTTGAGAGTTAATTTTCGTCTTCATGTCAACAATGCAAGATAAAATTGTCGGTAAGATCGATCGAGATTCAATTGTATTGAAATTGCCGACCAATTTTTCGCACACGTATGGTATCCTCCATCGCTCAAACCATTTTTTAACATGTAAACCTATGGGGTAACCATGGAGACTGACCTATTTTTTTAATAACCATGGTTATTAAAAATATTGAAATGTTTTATGCATGGTTACCGGGAATTTTACAGGAACAGTTGAAGTTTATGAATGCAATTCGACCAATCAGATGGCTGGATTTCTTAAGTGAGGTATATAAAAATTGTTATTTCCTCTTGTAAGTGGATCACTTGAAACAAAATGTTATTTTCCACTTTATGAAAGGATAGATTTTAGTTTCACTTTATGATAGGATAGATTTTAGTTTCTGTCATTGAAATTCATGGCTAAGCTCTACAGTTTACATGAAGATCTTCCGGTATAAGAAAAAACTAATATTTTTGGTAAGACTAAGATGTGAAAGATAATGCATAGTCAGTGCGTAGCATTAAAGAAATATTGAGCCAACGTTATAGCACAGCTTGACTGCATGCATTAATGCCATGCTCTTTTCAATGCTTGTTGTGAGTCATCAATCAGCTTAGAAATTAGAAGTCAAGTTCTTTTACTGAGTAAACATAAGACCATATTTTTTTAGATCAGTAAACTCCATTCCTATTGTGGTGTCGTGCATATGACTTGTTGAATGAAGTGCTATATCTCAATATTCCCTGTGGTATAGATTATGATGAATTGCTGACATTTTTATCTTAATTTCAAGTTGAGCTGACAGCCAACAGATGGACTGTAGAATGAATCTTCATACAATAACTGCCTCCACTAGGCCTACAGTACAGTACAATGAGGGCTTTACATACATGTATGTTCAGTTATATTGATGTTGTCAAGAAAAAGAAATTATGATTTAAAAAAAAAAAAATTTTAATAGTTTTTTTATTTAAAAAAAAAAAAAAAATCTTCATGAAATTGAATTTGAAATGAACATGTACATGTGGGTGGGTTTCCTACTTATCATTTATCAGGACACACAATGTATCTAGATATGAACAGGATTTGAAGTTCAAAGGTTATCAAGCTACTCCCAGATTTCCTGGTAGTACCGTACATGTACACTGTAGCTGATAATTATCACACCTCTCTTCAACATGTTAAAGGTACTATGTCCCATTTGCGGGCCAAAAAATTCAAAAATTTAAATTCCAACTGCATTTGAAAGATAATACTAATTTAGAACTTCCCTAAAAAAGGTGGGGCTTGAAAATGTCTTCAAGTGGGAAAATAACGACTATTAGTTGTCAAATCGACTTTAGGGCTATAGAGCCCAAAAGTATTAGTCTTGATTTTCAGACAATTGTACCGAATGGTGATACGTTTTATGCTGCGCAAAGATTCAATCAGTTTAATCTTGGCCATCACAAGAAGTGGGTTATTGATGTAGACAAATGCTCATGTACCCTTTACAACTCTTTTCATGTATATTATTACCAAAGAAGAAAAAAAGCCAGTCAGTCACTCAATAGTGTCTGACAGTGAAGTCTAGCAAGTAAACGGGTTTCCGTGCATAATTTGAATATGAGGACACTGCTAACGTTTAAATTTCACAGATAGGACATACATGACATATTAATAATTCCTGCAAAGTTCTACATAATTTGAGGTTGGCTGCAAAAGGGACATACATGTAGTACCTTTAAGAGATAAGAGAGGCCTACACACTACATTTATGAAATTGGAAAGATTCCATGACATTTTGGTATTTCCTAGGACCGTTG